GTTACCCAGTCCTGCTTACAGCTTCATGCCGAGATGGTTGAGACGAGCACAGACGTGAACCAGTCGTGCGAAGTCGAAGCGCCGGTCCACATTCGAGGGCATATCGACGATAGAAAGATTCCTCTTCGATGAACGGCAGAATTTGCTGCTTCGGCGGAAAGAGGATCTGAAAGGACCCCTGGACGAAGCCAAGGAACCTCCGAAAGGATCGCTGCTCTGAGCATCCGGTTCGGACAGATGAGTCTGCAGCTACCGATCGTTCGGTTCTCTGGCTCTCATCGAGTTCATCGCCTTCGCGACGGGTTCGTCACGTGGTCCGATTTCAGGACTCGCAAATTCTATTTTCGGATCGACGAAAGCTGCAACGCCAACATCGACTGCAAACATCACTTTGCAAACATCACCCCAAAAGCATCGTTTCCCGTGGTTAGCGCCGCAAAGCACCGACGAGGACGAGAGCTCTTCGTAGACTACAGATTTTGAGGAAACGCCTCGTATAAAAATTGAGAATCGAGCAGTATCCCTGACACGATTGCTCTCGTCAAAAGCCAAAGAGTAGGCACGGAATGATCGTGCGGCTTAAAAAAGATCCGTCAGCAGCCAATCGGCAACCGTTTCAGTCCCCTCTTTCTCTGGAGCAAGAATCTCTGGCATTCGCGGAATGGACCGCGAATGAATTCTCCACGGGAAAACGGCTCAACCGTTTTCGGTTAAAGTTGGACGATTTCGCGATAAATTCACTCGCGATAAAGCTTGCCCCCCCCCCCCCCCCTGCTTTTTCCAATTCTGTATTCCCTTACGAAAAATCCACACATGTGTACTACCATAAGTCCACCGGAGGATTTGGATGAATCCACATGTGGATTAAGAGGATCCACATAGAGTCCACATAGGGATATTCTTATGTCCACATTAGTCCCCATGTGGACTTGTCCACATCAGTTCACAACAGTCTACATTAAGTCCACACTATTCCACATTGCTAACTGTCAGTCCACATGTGGATCACCCGGAGGATTTGGATAGTCCCCCGGCAGACTACAGGGGGATTTTTCTTAAGGGATTTGCGCGTTCAAAGAAACTCTGCCGAGACGTGACGGCTTTACGATCGGCTGGGATGAGAACCGATCATCCCTGCGTATGATTTCATATCCCGAATATCTTCTGCGTCTTTTCTTCGGCAATCACTGCGAATACCAGCGCAGCACACGTTTCTTTGCATGCGAGACAGACGGGATCGTTTTCGTGGCGAACGAAAAGGCACTCGATGGTCCACCCTAGATCGAAACGGCGATTTTCTTCGCATTCCCGAATGACGATGACGAATCGGTTGCACAAACGGGATGAAACGATCGCACCGAAAATGCTTCTCCGAATACTCACCCCAAGCGACATATTTCGATTACCTCCTTTGTTAGGGGACTTCGTTTCCAAGAAAACCTTCGGTGCCGAGCTTTTCATATCCTCCGATCTGGAGGGGGGGACGCTGGGAATGTGTCTGTTGGGGACGAATGGGAACTCCTTTGCAGATAAAAGCCGCAGAACCCTCGTTTTTCAATTACGACCACGGAAATCCTCAATTGTTTTCCCAGCTCTTTCCTTGGAAAAAATATATATAAAAAAAAAACTATGCACTGTGCCAGGAGCATTTTCCTTAGCTGGGAGTCGACAGCAGTATCTTCTTCGACTATTCTTGAGTATTCTCAACCTAAGGAATCCTTTCCCATGGACTAGTAAGGGGAAACCTTCCCCTCAGTTGAATCTTGCCCGGTCGGAGGAGTAAACGAGCCGATCGTGGGCCGGACAACGGAAGTAGTAGTGGGCTTCGCGGGCCGGATGATACGAACAGGAAGGCAGGATCCGGGCTACGGCTCAACAGTTCGACCCCTTTGTCCTAGGGGGTTACATGAGGTTCTCAAAGTGGGCTGACTTTCTCCCTCTTTGGACAAATACGCAAGGAACACACGTTATGTCGCTTGGAGTGGATGCGCCCAGATGTTTGCCTCAGATAGAAAGCTCATATTCCTGTTCGAGGGGGAGTGGCTGCTAGACCTTACTCTGTTCCCTAGGCCACTGCTTCCGAGTCATTCTTAGCGTTTCAACAGGAATGGAAATTTCGACTGAACGAATATTTTTTTCCGTTGATTTTGGTCGGATACGGCCACAAGGTTCGTGTTGGCAATCGGACTGCAAGTTGGGTGCGAGCCGGGACTCGGTGCCGGCAGAAGCATACCTGCGCCCCGCAAATCCGTCCGTGCAGGACTCTCATATCTCTCCCTTCCATGCGTGTTTCGCACGCCGTGCTACATCCAAACGAAGTCTTCTTTTCATTTCCGCTCGCGGGAATAGGCCTGTCGGAAGACTGTCATAAGTCTTCAACTGGCCTTCCCGATTAGATCAAGGCAAGCCAATGATGGACTGTGGAATCAATCAAAATTCAGCGGAAGTATTCGGCAAAGAGACCCAGCAACATTTAGCTATAGATCGAGAGGCTCCCACGCTTTTTTCACACGTGTTTGGCCAAAAATTGTAGGCGTAAAATTCGGTATGACCAGGCCATTATTTTAATGTAGGCCTAGTATCTACCTGCCGTAAAGCGAAATGCACTTTTCACGAATGTGCCAGGTTGGGTCTACCATATAGTTCCAGTGTCTGGCAGCCCACAAGTGGGCTTAGACCTATCTGCCCAAAGCCTTGGTTCCTATTATTTCTGCATGAACGCTAGGAAAAGAAATTCCACAGCGTGGGGCAGCACTTTCAAAATGAGATAATGTGTCGACCTCATAATAGTGATTTCACAGTGAGTTGACACCCCTATGTGGGTTCTGGTGCTATTGGTGATTTGCCTCTATGGACATCAATCAATTACCAGTTCTCATTGTTTGTGTGACCAGGGAAACCTTAGTTCTACTTGTCAGTAGGCAATTAGAAAATAATGGTTTCCATTGTCAGGGTGTAAGAACTCATGAAATCACTGTATTTGATTAACTCATGCAAAATGACTCCCCCCTGATATATTGGTACCATGAGCCATAGTGCCACGGTTCATGATGCTTCCATGATGTAGATGGACATAGAAGGAATACCCCTACCAAGTAATCTTTATGAAATATTGTCATAGCTAAGACCCCATCATTGATAAGTTATAGGCAGACCAAGGATGGAGAGCCAGTTCATGAGCTTTACCTAGTTTATTTCTTTAATTGTTTTTTCATGGAATTTCCAAGCTTTTATTTTGGTTCAGTTTGGTGCATGTGTCACAGTCCTCTGTGCCCAATCAATGGTGAGTGCCTTAATGCTCTGTATGTCATACCAGCAATGTTCATGATACCACTCTATGAATTCTCCATTCTGCTTGTGCTTTTCCATCTGGATCTTGGCCTGGATTTTCATCTTTACTAGTATGTCATCATCATAAAAGGGAAAAGGTACCTGGAGAATTAATCTAGGTCTGGCCATTGGTCTATGGCAGTAATGTACAACCTGCAGGCCATGGGCTGCATGCAGCCTGCAGAGACCTTTTTTGTGACCTCTTGGATGCCTTTGGTCTCTAAAGATCCATATTTATATGTGGTCTATTTTGGCTCATGTTCGAGGGCTGCAGGCGTTCAAACCCCTTGAACATGAGCCAAAATCTCAATTTTGCCCTCGAGGGGGAAAATGTTGTGTACCACTGGTCTATGGAATCTGTCAGAGTAATTATGAAACATACCTATTTTCAATTACAAAGGGATTACAAGCTGGATAATATCTAGGTGAGAGATTATTCATCATAGGCTTCATTCCAAGTATAGAGTGTCTAAAAGTCCTCACATAGATTTTCAAATATAACTTTCAGCATGTACCTGATCATCAGGTTTCCCCTTGGCTGTACAAATGTTACATTAACATGTGTACTCCTTGCACCTGAATCAGGACCAATGTGGGAGGGCTAAGTGTTGTGCCTAAAAGTCAAAGGAGGGTCATCATGTGCCTTGCAAATCCCCCACTGCTTCTCTCTGTACATAATTAAACCATTTGATTGCATACAGATCACAACAACTATAGAGACATGGGAAGTGCAAGGAGGAGTAGGTGATATATTTGAGGCACAGAGGCCACTGATTTGCAAGTTTAGTGCCTTCTTATTTTTGATGTGATGCAATCTAACAGAACCCTGGACCCTCCTTCACTGGTCTTGGTGATGGTGCAGGGAGTCCCCATGTTTCAATGTAATATTTGTAAATGCCATAGATGGGAATTTGTTGGAAGCAGTATTTGCCAATTTTGTTATAGACTCATAAGATACACTGCATTACTCAAAAATGAGTGATGCTTTGCATCAAAATATGGCATATATCTAGAACATATGCAAAAATATTCAAGTGGAAAATTTTAACTAGCATGGAAAACTTGCTGGATTCTGTTTTAGCTCTGACCTGACATTCTTTTTGTTTTTGTTTATTTTTTAAATTTGTGAAAGCATGATTCCCCCTGCTCTTTCACTGTGGGGTAATTCTGAAGGCTTTTGGGGTAATTGTGAAGCATTAGAGGTCTTGCTAGTAAAAAATGGAAAGGACAAGATCTTGTTACTCACACTTATAGATATCTTCAAAGAAATGGATAAGGGAATGACCATGAATGATGATGCTTCAAAAATGTTCAAAAAACAAACATTAAGATAAAATAAAATTTTATAAAATATATGATAAAAACTCTGCACTGGGACATAAGTACATCTAATACTTAGCAGTTAAAAGGTTAAATTGAAACTGGAACCATATATAGTCAGCTTTCATATAATAGCCTGGTCATTTTAATTCACCTCACTCTTCATTAATGGGAACTACAGAGGTACTATATGTTAACCTCCAGTTTATTTTCTTGTTAGTCTCTGTTTAATTGATGCCTAACTTTAACTGGAATGGTCATAGCCTCTGGTTTATTCTTAGTTCACTGAACAAGAACTAAAGTGAAAGTTTCCTCTCTTTGACATAACTTTGATAGTCTGGGGTTGTGAATGTTACTGTCCTCGCATATTAACTTTTTAAAAATTAAATGAGCTAATTATTTTCCTAATTTAGGTGCTAGTTTTGTAGGCTTTTGAGAGAATGAACCGAGGGGAGCCTAGAAGTCGAGGTGTGGGGCGTGGTGGAATGGGTAGAGGCTTTGGACGAGGCACCTACCGTGTTACATCCCCTGAGGGAAGTGTTCATGATGTGGCAGTGAATCGCCCCAAATCCAGGAGGTAGGCATTCCCTAAGTGTCAGCATTCATTAGCAGTAACCAGCCCTTGAATTGCTAATTCATTTATTCATGTTTCCATTTCAGGAGGGACCTGGAGGGACTCTTTGTGACTGGGAAACTGTATGTCAGGAATGTTCCATGCAATAATCAGGTATGTCCTATGTGTAGCCTTTGTTTGAGGGAGATCTAATAATCTAGATCCAGCCTGAGGATAATACCTGCATAAATTTCTCAAGTGTTTTCAACTTTTAATTTCTGGTCGAGACTATGATGTAAAAATAAAAAGGATGGGGCCCATGAAGGTTTTATTTTTGCCAATTACCAACTTGCTTCATATTAATAGCAGTGGATGGTATAACCCATTGGAATACCATTTAATTTTTCAAAATTGGCTCCAGGTCTCCTAACATGATAAAAATTCCTACATTTTTATATATGATTTCCTATTTTTCATTATTGTTGGTCACTTCTAATGCTCATTGTCATGGAAATAATTATTTCATAAACATCAGCCCAGCAAATTGCTGGCTTGGTATGCCAATGGGTTAAGGGTTATATAGAAAACCTTTTGTTTTAGGTTCTTACATTGCTTTCTTCCTGACTGGGAAGGTGGCAACTCAGAAACTAGAAGCAAAAAAGTTAAATGGTGGTAAAGGGATACAGTCTTACCATCTGGATGTCACCATGCTATTCCTTTGCTGTACAGCAGCATAGAAACAAAGTCTCTGATAACACTTTACAGTGTGAGGCATGTTTCAGTTTTCTTCTAAAAAAGTAAGATGATAGACATTTTAATATGGACCCAGGTATGTATCAGTTCTTATACCTGATTATCTAAATAAATAAATAAATTTGTTTTGCCTACTAAAGCATTCTTCATTCAGGACAATTTTTTCTGTGGAAGTGTATCTGGTCTCTAAGCACCTCCCTGACTGGTGTGGACAATGTTGTCCATGCTTACCCTCTCCTTTTTCAGGGGAAAATGCTGAACATATTTGCTTGGTAACCTGTGACTTATAAAAAGAAAAACTTCAGTTTGGCTGACTTTTTTTTAAATGTAGGCCTCTGTTTGTAGTCTGTCACTGTGGTAGCTTTTCCAGGACTTGTGATCCTGCTTTCAGTTTCACTTTCTGCATTCCATACTAGCAGTATGACAAAAGAAGACCCCATATTTTGATCCCACTTTCTCTCAACTGAAACAGTTTTAAGCTATTGCTAACTTGAAGCAAATACTCTTCAGTGATATGACCTAACTATTGATGCATCCCATTCTTAATTAGAAAAGTAAATTAAACAGCAGGGCTTCCCCTGCAGAACCTTTCCCCTTCTCAGATCTCAATTTTTTTTTTACTCCTGCAATTCATTAAAGTCACATATTTAAGTTTTTGCATGATGACTTGCTGATACCATATTTCTGGATTATTCTGTTTCCGTGATCCCTAATAATTTGGATGCCACCTGTCCTGGATTTTTTAGGATACTCCCATTCCAGTTCTTCAGGACTGTACTCTTGGATGAAGGAAAGATGGAAGTTCTGTATAAGGTCTAAGTTCTGGGATGGTGATAGCACTTATTCTTTCCGAGGCAACTCCTCTTTCTGAATTTTAAAATGATAAGGAAATTTTATCATGGTGCCAGACAATAATTACCAGATTCTTGGTTATCCCTGAGCATTGTTTGATTTAATATCTTCTTCAAAGTTTTGGGGGGGAGGGGGGGGCATGAGAGGGCTCCAAGGATACTAGATGGAAGACAAAAGTTCAGATGAAAGGGTTCTGTGCTGCACTTAGCAACCCACTTGTGATTCTCAGCAAAGTTTTAAATTTTCCTGGCAAAAGTATTTTTTTCCTTCCATATGGTAAGTTGATTAAAAATTGTCTACAAGTTTCTATAATTTAATACTATTTATGACTTTATTAAATGTAAATTATTTTCATAATTTATTACTGAAATTTCCAGTAGAATTCACCAGATCTAAAGATCTAAACCTTGCTTCTCAAGCTTTGTGGATCCATAACCCCTTTTCAGTAAGGCCTAAAATTCATAACTTGCAAATTCCTGGTTACTGTGACTTGTGAGTAGTCATTTTAAGATCTTAGCTGCTTAACCCCTCGAACACACCAGGTATTAGACAATTTCCTGTCATCATATACCAGAATTTTGTATTAAATAAAAAAATATTTTGTTTCTGCTAAAGTTCTTTACTTATAGGTATTATAAGTATTTGATATTAGGTTATTTGGTATTATAAGTATAAATATTATAAGTAAGCCTTCCCAAGAGAGGCAAAATACACCAATACTCATTCGCGTGTGTGATTTACAGGATCCTTTTTTTCCTGTGAATCTCTGATTTTTTCCCCCTTGAATGTGGCCTATGTCCAACTTGGAAATAGCATGTTCTGTTGTCAACTGTTTTTTTTTTTCTTCTTTTTTCTGGAGCTTATGTAGGAAAGAATGTAAATGCATATGTTTTCCAAACAATAATGATATATGGTGTGACTTGAGTCAATAACCAAAGCACAGATGAGCAGCAGCATGCAGCCAGAAGAGATAATGAAAAAAATAAAACTGTTATTTCTTTTATTCCTGTATGCTTCTATGAATGAACCCTTCGATGTATGGTTGCATTCATACCCTTATTTGGGTAAAGTATTTTGTGATAAAAAGGAGAAAAGCAGAGACCCCAATGGTGGAGTTCTCTAGAAAAAGGGTGTAAGTGCCCATATGCCCCTTTTCCATATCCATGTCCATGGGCTGCTTTAAGTGACTTGTCATAGGATAGGGTGGTCAGCAGGTGGTTAAGATGTGTATTCAGCAAAGGAGAAGCAGGTTTTCCTTTGCTTACATTACATGGCAGGCCAACTGCTTGACAATTTCAATATGGTTGCCTCCATGAATATTTCATTAGCATCTGCATTGCTGAACAACTTTGGTGGAATAATTCCATTCTTTCAAACTGAAAGTGAGAACAAGGAAGAAGCCAGACAGGAGGAAAGGAGAAGAAAGAGGCCCAGTCATCCAAGCCCCTGGAAGGATGCAAGAAGTTGGAGATTCAGATTATGAATAAATTAATAATGGATTACTGCTGAGTAATTGGTGAATAAATCTTGTCCTGAATATTCAGATTTTAATTGTCATTCTTTGAGGAAGAGTTGATTTGAAAGCTGTAGTTGTATTTATTGGTAAATTATTATTTTTTACTGGAAAGAGGTGGTGAACAGCCAGTTGAAAAAAGCTTGAGCAGTATGGATATGGAAAAGGGGCATATGTGTATAGACACTTTCTGCCTGCATCCCTGCAATGTGAGATAAAGAAATTCATTGAAATCCCAAGTTCAATTGGGAAGAGGACTAAGATACCATTTGGATGAAAACTGGGTTTTGAACAGCTGCAGATTAACTGTAGGAAGTTTTTGCTGTTTATCTCGAATTGCATCTTTTGCACATATGTCCTTTTTCCTGAGAACCCCTCAATTGGACCCCCTTGCTTAATTTATTTTCTTAAATGCAAATCAATACATTATTAAGTCATTTTTTGGATTTATTTGTTATTGCTAATGAATGATACATACAAAATTTGTAGAAAATAAAATTTTTTTTTTGGTTAATGGATTGCTCAAATTGGATTCCTATTGGATTCCTTTTGCCTGAATAAGGGTTAACTGTCCTTCAGTATAATGTTCATTCATCTGCTTATGTTTCGTTGTTCTGATATCAACAAAATCTGTATTGCCTGCCAATTGAAATTGTGACTTTTCAAGATTTTGCTTCCATTGCTCTGGCAATGATATTCTCCCAATCCAAATAATATGACTTGCTAAAAAGTTAGAATTAATTTCAGTTCAGTTCATTTCACTTTATTTTGGCATATAAAGCAGTGGACACTGTCAGCTAGGGAAAATGAATAAGGAATACATAAGGAACAAAGCAAAACAAAAGGAAATAAAGAACTAAACACAAGAGCTAAAAGAAGGAAGAGGTAAGAGAAACAAAATGGAAGGAGAGAGCATAGTGGATCAGGAAAATAAAAGGGACACTTGATTAGGGGCAAATTACATACACCCAAGAGTATATTGGGAGTGAGTTGGGTCAGGAAGGATTCTTGGAGGAAATGCTCTTTTAAGAGTTTTTTTTGCAATATTTGGGGCTGTTTCAATGACTGAATTTTAACATTTGTCTGGGAGTTTGCTCCATAGTCTTGGATGGCCTGGGTAATAGGAATTTGCTCTAATATTGGTCCTAGTAGATATTCGTTTGAAGTTGAGTATTTCTAGGTTTCTGTTGTTGATTAAGGGACCCGGAACTGAGTGGTCAGGTTCTGCAGAATGGAGATTATTAATGCAGTCGGTTAATGAAAGATATTTAAGATGGTTTTGGATGGACATGGCTTGCAGATGAATGGGGTATGGGGGGGCAGTTCTTTTACTTACTTTCAAGATCATTTTAGTGGCTTTCCTTTGAATTCTTTCAATTTTAGAGCTGTGTGTCTCACTAAATGAGAACCAAACTGGAGCACAGTAATCAATGTGGGGTTGAATAATTGAACATTTCTGAGTTTCTGCAGGACATTAGGTTTGCAGTCTTTAGGTGTAAGGTATATGATTCCCAATAGTTTTGCACAGTTTAGGATCAGTTTTCCTGTATGTAAGTTCCATGATAGAGTGTTGGAGATAGTCATGCCTAGTTGCTTATGGGAGTCATGAATAGCAAGGAACCTTGATTTAATTGCATAGTGGGGTGGAAGAGCCCTTTTTTTTTTTTTAGTTTCTAATGTATGAAAGAATGTAACTTTTGTCAGTCTTAAGCTCTATGTGGTTAGTGTCACACCACTTTGGATTACTCCTGTTCCACTTAACTATGCACTCAAATTCAATGTTTTTTCAAAAATTGCAATAAAATGTCTCCTCATCTTCCTGTCATTTTTTCACTTTTTTTTCCTAATACTACAGTCAAAATTGAACTTATTCTTGTGAAAAAGTTCCTGGAATATATATTTCTTGTTTGCATCTTTTACCTTCAACATCCACACCCACATGATCCCAGATGAAAATCAGTGGTTGGCTGCTGCTGACCAAATTCCTGCTGAAGATAATGGAGAAGAAAGTGTATATAAAGAAGAATAGGATGAAAAATAAGGTGATTGATACATCATTAGAAAGTTCACAACATCAACAAGACATTACTCAATAGAGACAACTTCTGATTAACTTTTTTATTATTTGTGTTTGTATGGGGAACAGTGCATAGTTAAGTGGAACAGGAGTAGTATAAGGTTGACCTTGTTACAATAGGCCTACTTAAGATATGAAATAACCTATCTCACCCTTTCTTATGATTTACTAGCAGAGGTACACGGCATTGCACGGGTGAATATTGTATAGGTCCCATATTTGTCTGCATTAAATAAGGTACCTCAGGGCAGGGCTGATTTTAGGGACAGGTGACTCAGACGACCACCTGGGGGCAGGGAGTGTCCTTGGTGGCTGGCCCTGCCCTGGGGGTTCCGAATTTTGAAACTCCACCTGGCCTATGACCATCCCCAGACCAAATGAGGAAGCCTTGCAAAGTTTGGTCAGACTGGGATCAGAGGTGTGGCTTGTGTATGTGCATATAGGACAGACAGACACACATTCAAAGATATACGTGGGGAGGTCGGAAAGTTCGCGGATTTTCACATTTTTCGGCGCCATTGAGTGATGAGTGATTGTGGCCCATTCAATTGATATATCTTGAGCCCTTTCAACATTTTTTTAGAATTTTTAATACCGTGCAGAAAGATGGAGACCCGTCAGAAGCGAGACGGTGCTGTGAATGTTCGCGAGACTGAAATTTTCGGCGGAACAAAAACGAGTGATCCTCCTCTACCATTTTCGGAGCGGTTTGAAACCGCAACTGGCGTTCGAAGAGATTATCAACAGTGATTATCTTCCTGAAGTTTGGCGAATTTCCGTCTTCAAAATCCTCCAGGAACTTCTTGCAGAAGTTCACGCTGGCCTCCTTCTCCTCCGGTATTTCAAACCGCTCCGAAAATGGTAGAGGAGGATCACTCGTTTTTGTTCAGCCGAAAATTTCACAGTCTCGCGAGCATTCACAGCACCGTCTCGCTTCTGACGGGTCTCCATCTTTCTGTACGGTATTTAAAATTCTAAAAAAATGTTGAAAGGGCTCAAGAGATATCAATTGAATGGGCCACAATCACTCATCACTCAATGGCGCCCAAAAATGTGAAAATCCGCGAACTTTCCGACCTCCCCACGTAGTATAGATCAGTGATGAGCAACCCGTTGGCCACATGTGACCCACGAGGCCCTAGTGTGTGGGCCGCTGGGCTTTGTCAATTGAATTTTTTTTTTCATGTCACCTGCCATTTGGAGCAGAGTGCATGTGTGTTCAAGGATTCCATTGTCCACTGCAGGAGAAACGGAAGCAAGAAATTAATAATAAAATCTATATTTCTACCACAGTTTCAAATATCCCTTCACTTTCTTCTTGGTTAGTGCATGACTGCTCTCTGAGCAAGCACCTTGCTTGGTATTTTACTCTGTGAAAAGATGAGAAGAAAATTCAAAATTAGTTATTTGCATATCAGTAGCATATACTATTTTAGTACCTGGTTTACTAAGCCAGGCTTAGAATTATTTTTGTACTCAGAAGGCATAAAACCTGTAATTCATTGGGGAGGGAAAAAATAGATGCAACCCGCTGGGAACCTAAAAGGTTCACTTGCGGCCCGCAGTCAGAAAAGGTTGCTCATCACTAGTATAGATGATGGCATCAACAAGGATTTGTTTCACTTAGCTCCTTTTCCCTTTTTGGATGTAATTATTATTCATTTCTTTTGTAGGATGAAATCAGGATCATGTTTGAGAACTTTGGGGAGCTGACCAATTTTTTTGTTTTTGCCTCCCGGTATGAGACAGAAGATGGACAGCCACTTTCAGATGCCTTGGTGCAGTACAAAACCTTCAGGTCTGTTTGTCTCAGATAATCTCTGGATTCATAGTTACAGTGCCAACAAAATTCCATGAATATCTTTATGAAGTGGCTGCAACTGACATATCTTTAAACTGTTATTGTTTTATGTTAATTGTTAAGAGTTAATTGAAATCTATGGATTGGGAATATTTGTAGTTCGTAGGATCTTTCTTTTGGCAACATATAGTTGTTTTTTCCCAGAAGGTTATCAATGGGTATATCTATCATTTTTGTAGGGAAGCAGAGGATGCTCTTCGGAACTTACACAACTGTGAGCCATACTTCCTTGACATTGAATTTGCCATCACAGATCAGGAGAAGGCCGAAGGTTACACCTCAGGTGAAGATGACAGTGTCATGTGAGTGGATCGGAGAAAATCTCTAAGCCCAAAAAGGGTTAAAGCCAAAATTTCTTTTGGGAACATGTTTAAAGTAATACACTTTTGATCAAATTATGGATTCTTGTTTCAGAGATCGTGATGTCTTGTAGTTTTACTGTCCAACTTTGATACTCACAATTTATGACACAGTGAGGATCCTCTTCCATATCAATAATCAGCAATGCTTCATATTTCAGAATCTAGTTAGGCCAACTACATTCTAAGTTGAGGTTTAAGTAAAGTTGAAGTAAATTGAAGTATATATTCAGTTTGGTTCACTGCAACAGGACATTGCAAGAATGTCATTTTTTAAAGGACATTCCTTGTCAATACAATGGGAGGTCTGAAAATTCACAATAAGAGCTCAGCACCTTTGCTTTGCTTATACTCTGAAGGTGCTAAGATTTTCTGAACTTCTGTCATCTGTTTTATTTTTTGCAGAGATGGATTTCCTCTGGGGATGGGGAGAGGCTTCTTTGCCAATCGAAGGGATGGTTATCCATCTTCTCCAGTAAGTATTTTCACTTTTTTTCCAAATATTTTCATGCTCTTTGAACCCTCAAATTGATTTTTTTGCTGTTTTTGATTGGGGCCTTGTGTCTGATGAAGTTTCTTCTCTCCTTTGTAGCCCCACCATCCTGTGGAGAGAGGAAGATGTCATTTCTGTGGACATTGTGGTGAGGAGAAATGTGGGGATTGTCACACAATTTGGTATTGCTCCACTCAATGCCAGACCAGGGACTGGCCACAGCATCAGAAGTTCTGTCGTCCTTTACCGTAAGTCATGATGGGATGAACCCTAAGTATTTGTTTTTGGTTCAGTTTATGAGGTTTCTAGTTGAAAATAGTCATTTTCATATGATATCCCTTTGTAAATATGAATTATATAAAAATAATTATTGATGTCTATTGCATTGTATACAGTACCATTTTGTGGTGGAGCTCATATAAGCTCTTTCTCTGGTTCTTTAAGACCAGTATCACAGAAATTTTTATGAAAGCACATTCACATATTAGATGTGACTTCCTGTAAATTTCATACAAATACCTTATGTGTTCTGTCTGCAGCCAGTTTGAAAACTATTTTGGCAAATCTCTGATATGCATTTAATTTTTTTTCTTGCCCCTGCTAATCAGTGACCCTGAATGAAAAACTTTAATAAATGAACCTTGTTTTCCTCATGTCACTTTTTTCTTGCATATCACTCTCTTTTTGTTAATATAGGAGACTGATTCATGTTGGGCCTCAAGGAGATGGTCTCCTTCCCACTCCACCTGTCAACTTTGAAGGGGATACTACTTCAGTGGAAGGGTTTGAGAGTGTTCTGCAAGCATTCCAGGACACTGCATCTATTCACTCTGGACCCAAGTTTGAGCAACCAGGCTCCCTCCGGCCACCACGAGGAAGAGGCTTTCTTGAGAGTGGCAGGGGGGGACGAGGGACTTTTGAAGCTGGAGCACGTGGACAAGGCAGTGTTGAGGCAGGGAGGGGTCACGGTGCCTTTGACAGCAGCCGAGGCCGAGTCCGAGGCTTTTCTGAGGGTGGCCAAGGCCAAGGGTCCTTTGAGGGTGGCCAAGGCCGAAGCTCCTTTGAGGGTGGACGAGGCCGAGGCTCCTTTGAGGGCGGACGAGGCCGAGGCTCCTTTGAGGGCGGACGAGGCCGAGGCTCCTTTGAGGGCGGACGAGGCCGAGGCTCCTTTGAGGGTGGACGAGGCAGAGGCTCCTCTGAGGGCAGTCGAGGCCGAGGAAATTATGAGAGCAGAGGAGGCCAAGGAAACTGCAAAAATGGAGGACAGAGGAACTATGAAACTGAGGGAGAACGGGGAAACTATGTTGCTGCACCAAATGGGAAACCTGAATTGCTTGGAGATGCTTCAGCTTTCCCTACAGGTGCTGTGATGACCATTTTCTACTTTTCATAAATCAGTATTCTGAATGGGAATGCAGCACTTATCCTGATGGGTGAGCAAATTTTGGTAATAACCCCATGAATTCCTTATGTTTAATTTTTTTTCAGCTCAAAATTTGTAATTCATGGTTCTGTAATATTTCAGCAATATCTTTTTGAATGTTCATCTGTTTATTGTCTTTTAATATCCTTACCTTAATGGAAGGGACAGATGCCCGACTATGGAATTTCTGGCATGAAAAATTTGCTAACTGCTGAAGTGAATTTCAAGAATGCTGAAGTACAATGAAAAATTAGTAAGTTGAAGTCAGAACTTGTAATAGGACTTCAACTGAATAATGGGCATTGTGTCCAGTAGCCAATCTCATTTTTTCTGTTAAGACTTTCGTTTGTCCACCCTATTTTGCAACAGGACTTTTACTGAGTCCTTATTGAACAAGCATGTCTCTCCCTCTGTAAAGGGCTTTGTGAAGTATACCAAGATGAGAGATATTTCAAACTGACTGTTGTGAAAAAAGTCCTTGTTTTGTATTTGTACCTCATAGGTTCAGAAGATCATATGCCTTACCAGAGAGGGCATATTGGAGGTGGAGCTTCCCAAGGAGGGACAAAAGGAGGAAAGTCATTCCAGGGTGAAAGTGGGGGATTCCCACAAAATGGGCTCACTCTAACTAAACCATCCCACAACAAAACGACTGTAGAACCAGTTCACATTCCCAGTGCTATGAAATCTCCTCCACCCATCTCCCCTCTGCTACCCAAGGATCCTACAGCTTCTCAGGTTAGATGCTTCTATGACACATGTTGTGTACTCACTGGAGCTGAATTGAGGGAAAAGTCACTGTTCCACTGCATGGAAAGTATGATGTCATTTTGGCATATGTCTCACTGTAGGTTGTTCCTTCTATAGGGAGTGTTACACATGAATATCAAAATACAGTAGATAAACAAGACTCTTTCCATCTCCCATTCCAGTATTGTGTTCTCACTTGTATTCCATCGCCTGAAACTTTAGTCAATGACATTGAATATTTTCATGCATACTGTGCATTGAGGAATTAAGTTCAGTAAACCTCCATGCATATTCTCCTTTCACCTCTGCCAGTTGACTGTAAAATTCTATGAGTGTCCCTCTATTCAATTGCAACTATTCAACCCCCTTCAAGAAAAGAACAGGTCATTACATCATTACAAAATGTGTGTTATGTTTGTTTTTGATAGGGTATGTACATAGTTGTCTATTAATTGTGGGTTTTGTCCATCGCTTTTGATTGTTTTTTTTTGCATTGGAATTGAATGCATGGTAGGATCAGAATTACCCACTTTTGTGACATATCTGGTGTCATGTTAAGAAAAAGAATACCATCAGATAAGGTGAATCCATTTGGTGCTGTAGTTGTTTCCATGATGTACCACCACCATGCATAGGCAGATGATGCTGTGCAGATTTTTTAAATTGACTTTCTTTTACATCCTTTCTTCTGTGCGAATTCTGAATCCTTTTAAGCATCTTTCAAAGGAATATGCTTTTCTCAGTATCAAGTTGATCTCTCCTGTTGCTTGAAAGTTTGGGTTTTGTGAGAGATAAAGACTGTGCAACTGTTTGTTGCTTAGAAATTTTATGCATTATTTGAAATGAGGACAAAATGTTGATATTGCTTTGATTTCAAGTTTATTTTAAAAGTTTATTTTCAAGACAGGGCATACATTAGACATATATGACCATGACATACAATGCACATAGAGGATCTATGGAGAACCATAATCTTGGCTATGGTACCTGCTTGGCACATGCACCCTTTCCGTAGGGATACCTCTTAAGGTTCATGACAGTCACTAGTGGTTTTTAACCCATTGGTCTATATTGATGAGGACTACCTGTCATCACTTTTCCTTTTCAACGCAAGCGTGTAGAGACAATGGTACCAACCGCATTTTTACCGACAGTTGAATGCATGACTCCCTTCATTCCTGCCAATTTCCGAGCCCATGCTCAAGTATGTCATTTCACAGCATCATCTGTTACCTTATTTTTCAGACAGCCCTCGTAGTTCAAAATGATAGTGCTAGATGGCAAGAGCATGCATTTCTTTACAAACAGATGGTTTCTCTTTGCATTTCATAGGCCTTGAGACCATTTTCATGCATAAAGTTAAGTTTAAAAATTATAATAAATATACTCATCGCCAAAAAAAAAACCACAACCAGGAGTTGTGGGATCTTGATGAAATTTGGTATACTATTTCATGATAGCAAACTATGAAATCAATTGGACTTTCAATTGTGTGAGTTGAATATTAATGGAGAAAACATACCAATTAATCTAATTTCAATAACAACTATTGGGTCATTGCTAATCGCCCAAAATGGTTACCTGGATGGTTTTTCCTGACCAAACTTAGTAGGAAAACTCCTATAGATTTGCAGAAAAATCTAGCAAAGTTTAGAGATATTGAGATGAAGCAATTCTGAAAAACCTTGCCAAATGCTGGAAGAATTGAGAAGGGCAGCACCATTGAAGGTGCCAGTTTCATTTCCTTCCCTCAAGCTGCTTCCCAATAGGGCTGTTGTTCAGTGTCTAACTGCAAGGCAGCGTGAAGATGAGGTCTCTGGAGGCAATTTCATCATGTTGTTAGGGTGTTTCATCCATGGAGAGTAATGGTGATTCATGTATCAACTTCATGCATCAGGCTGATACATGCACCAAGTTCATGCATGGTAAGCATCCCATTTACCCTACATCAATGAAACACCCTAGCAGCTTGTTGAAATTGCCTGCAGAGATCTCATCTTGGCACTGCCTTGCCATTAGACACTCAACAACGGCCCTATTGGGAAGCGGCTTGAGGGAAGGAAAAAAAGAAACTGGCACCTTCAATGGCGCCACCCTTCTCCCCAATTCTTCCAGCATTTAGCGAGTTTTCTCCAAATTGCTTCATCTTGTGATCTAATTTACTAGATTTTTCTGCACATCTATAGGAGTTTTCCTACCATGTTTGGTCAGAAAAACCATCTAGGTAAGAGTTTCAGGTGATTAGTATGATCCAATAACTGCTATTGAAATTGGATTAATTGGTATGTTTTCTCCATTAATATTCATTTCACACACTTGAAATTCTAGTTGATAGTATGCTATTATGAACTAGTGTACTGAATTTCATCAAGATTGCTCAACTCCTTCTGGTCATGCTATTTTTTGGCAATGAGTAGGATGGGTGATACAAATTCCGACCCTGCTATAAAGTCTGCCCCCATGCTACATATTTCAACATAATCAGAAGTACAAACAGACTTTTTCAACCTAATTACACCAATGCTTGGTCTCTGAAATGTGAATGGGCAGTGTGTGGATTTTCCTCTTGACTGGCATGGATCCCAAAAAAATTTATTTCAAACTGTGGGTGAGGGGGTGGATTTTGTATCACCTACCCTATATTATTATCAGATCAAATCATATGCCAATGGATTAAAATGTACTACTCCCATTTCTCTAAAATGTGGTTCACAGCATGGCATGTGTTGCTACCCCAGTGTGAAGCAGATTCTCTCCATGAAAGTAAGTGGGTTCTCTCAGCAGAGAAAGAGCCTGCCCCCACACTGACTTCATCCTCCTCCTTCAGGGTTTCTCTCACTTTGCAACCAAACCAAGTTTCTAACAGGTTTCTGCTAGTAAATTTTAAATTCATGTTGATTGGAAAGGTTTAGCAGAGGCTTTCAAATGAAGACTGACAAGTGACTTGTTTGCAGTTGATGGGGTACATAATTTCTCCAATTATGAATTTTTTGGGCTGGCTGCTGGCAATGACTTTCTGGAGGACCACATAATCTAATTTGCTAAGTCTGGAATATCCTGTAATGAAGAAGCATTTAAAAGCTCTAATGAATTTGTATTCTGGGGAAGAAAAGCTTGGAAAGAACTTCATTAGCTGTATTGGAAGCTTCCCTGTGGAAGATTCTATTTCCAAATACAAGAGATGGGCACAAATGAAAATTTGTGTTATTTATGATGACTAAAAAGTACACTAGCAAGAGATTGAGGAAAAATATAGAGTAAAGCACTCATGAATGGAAAGAACACTAGAATTTTGTGCATGTGCACTTTATTTATGTTGTTTGCACTTCATGGACACAAATTTGTGAGATATGTACTGTACATGCCATAGAACAATGGTGCCCAACCCATGGCCCATGAGGTCCTAACCCAAAATAAATACCCTCAAGTTTCCTTAACTCTTTTGCTGCAGCTGTCCAATTTTGGGGACAGTGGTATCACCACGGAGAAACAGAAACTGTAGAAAATTCCTGAGGAACAAGTGCACTCTGGAGCATTACATTACAAGGGTGGTATACCACCTTTGTAATGTCTAACGTCCCTACAATACTGGCTTTGAAAGTAATCTCACCAACTGGCAGCAGCAAGTATTGTAACCTTTCTTTCTGATCAACCCAGATGCCACAGCAAAAGGGTTAAAATAGTCTCCTACCATACCAGTGACTGCATATGACCCACAATAGCTGTGGGAGGGAGCTGTGCAGCCCTTGAGCTGAAAAAGTTGGGCATCACTGCCTTAGAGACTCTTTCTCCATTCCCAAGTATGCTCTATCTGATACCCTTGACAATAGCTCTGCATCAGACTTTACAAGATAGTAAGCTCCTCTGAAGCATAGTGAGATCCAAATGCTCCCACTCATACTTGCACACTTTCCAGAGACTGTCCAAAGTGCAAGGTGACTGACTAAGGCTCACTCACTTCAGCAAGCCAAAGCTACAAAAGTCCATTGGTTCTGCATTTGGGAACTTCACAGGATTATCTTAGTATTGGAAATTTACAATACCATACTAACCAGCAGATAATGCAGCAAGAAAATTCTAGCCCAGGAAAGCTTCCAGGCCAGTTCAAATTCATTTTCATGAAACTACCCTCTGTACAAGCTATGTGGCTTTGACTTTCTTGCTGCACAGCTAAGAAGCAAATGGGATGGGCATTGCCTACTTGCACTTCTTATGATGGAAGAAGTCAACTACAGAGGATGATCAAAAGTTTCTGAATGCTTTTTCAAGTGAGAAATTGTGACACCGCTGGTGTGTGTTGATTCAGCATGGTCATCCAGAACATGGCCTGGAGTTGGAGGATCCAGTCTTGACACATCGCTTCAACATATCACAGACAGTTGCAAGACCACATCCGACTGTTTTTGCAATTTTCTGATATGAGTCACCACATTTATGAGTCACCACATGTAAAAAATGATGCCACACTGCTCTTTCATTAACTCTTTTTCTTATCTGGAAAAGTGAGGTGGGAAAATTGCTTGCACAAGAGACCATGTTCTGCACTTTTTTTAAATTGAAATAAGCACATCAGTTTTTCTTGTCGTGTAAGCAAAATGCAGATCTTCATTTCTACTGTATATACAGGGTGTTTCAAAAGTCCAGACTTATAGGCAGATTTCCTAATTTACCTTTATTTCATTAAATGTTCAAATTGCATGCCTACTTGAACGTATGTGTATAGTTAGGACCGTGTATTGGGGGAGACTTATAAAGAATCATGAAGACATGATTAAAACCACATGAGTAAGTAACTCTTTAAATTAATTAAGTTTATACCCATGAGTATGGACTTTTGAAACACCCTGTATTATACCGTACCACTCACATTTAATCAAGTAAATATGAAAAAATCTATTTTAAAAAAGCATTCAGAAACTTTTGATCACCCTCTGTAATATGAAAAAAAAAGAAGTTTCCAGCAATGTTTAGAACCAATGTTTTTTGCAAAGTAGGGATTCTTCCTTTCAGATTAGTCATCTGTGTGTCAGTATGCTATATCACTTCACAGATGATTTTCCCTCATTTTGCCCCCTGGTTTTTTTTTTTATTTGCAGGGATTGAAGAAGGCTCCTGAACCAGTTGTTACTTCTTTGGATGAGTTGAAAGTGGTTGAGAGCACCATCAGTGGTCCTATCCAAGAACTCCCCCCTGCTATCCTTAATGCTAGGACCCAGCAGGCAGTGAGGATTCTTTCTTTGATTTCTTCTCTCCAGTTTTTCATTTTTTATATTTCATTGCTTATCTGAATTATCATGTGCCAACTTATAGTCACCAATACTAGGAGGAGTTTAAATATGCTATGTCAAGGAAATGGTTATATAAAGTATAAAGCCAATCATCTCCAAGGCCCCTGAAGATTCATTTTTCCTCTGCAGTGCCACACAGCATCATGTTTCACTGCAGATAATAGACTATTTTGGATTATGTCAAATATCTGCTTACCAAGTGTGACAGGCCTGACAAATATCCATCCATATCAAGAACATCAGGCAATATCCATAACACATAAACATACAAGTAGCTTCAAAATGTTAGCAGAAAGTACTTCTTTTTGTGATAGGGTACATGTACCCACAATTTTCCTCAAAGTAATAACCTCCTGCTACCATGCATTTTTGCCTGTGTTCATAAGACTTGTAGAACACATCCTGGAGCCCCTTTCCTTTCCAGGTCCTTGACTGCTCTCATTGCAGCCACTTCCACTTTTTTTTAGAACCTCTGTCCCTTGATTGCCTGCTTCATTCGGGGAAAAAGTCCAAAGTCATGTGATGCTCTGTCAAGGGAATACGGAGAATGTGTTAAGATAGTCACTGATTGCTGCATCAGATACTGTCGGACCTTGAGAGAACAATGAGCTTGGGCATTTTCATGAAGTGGCATTCACTCCTTAGAAGACCACAGACCAATACAAAAAAGGGGGAATTGCATTTCATAACCGTACGAGAATCCCATAGAACATCTTTAAATTCATAATATTTCCGTCTGGAAAGAATTCATAGTGAACCACCCCAGGAAACTCAAAGAATACCACCATCACTTTCTCTATTGACCATTCAGTTTTGATCTTTTTTGATCGAAGTGAAGACATTGACTTCCATCCTGCTGATTGATGCTGTGACTGGGCTTGTATCATGTCTCTTCCCCAGATATGATTTTCCAACTACAAAATCTATGTTCTTGTCAGCAGTATCAATGCGATCACCACACACTTCCAGCCAATGTTGCCTCTAATCTGCTGTCAAAAGTCATAGCACAATCTGCTTACACATGCAAGGCATTTCCAGATCCTCTTTGTAGCAGGTTTGGATGTACATAATTTACATTTCTACCAAGTGTCATTGTGATCAGACTGAAAACCACTTTCTGAGAGCATTTTTCTATGAACTTTTTGAAGCCACTTGTATAGTATTGTCACTTCTACTAGTAGCAACTAATTTTGACTTCAGTGCACCTCACTCATCACCTTCAAAAAATTTGTGGCTGCATCAAGTTCGTCAACTATTGGTGTCACCAATGTGCATCCTTTGTCCCAGGTGGTTGTGACACACATGGTGAATCCTGGCCTGCTTTTTGTGCGTCAAGCAGGTCCTGAGTCTGTGTATAAGACCATTGTCAAGGATTTGGCCAAGACATCTGCTCAGTCCCTTCAGCCTGGAACAATTGTGGCCGGTTTCATCATTGGGATTCGTCTGCCTAATGGGTCACTGTGAGTTCCCTATATCCTACATTGTACTTGAAGAATTTAGACAATGTCTTTCCTATCATTTATTTTCCTAAAACACTTGAGTTGATGTGAATAATTCAGATATTCTTAAGAGAGTGAGATGGCCACGTCTACAGGAGATACCTGGAAGTGAATAAATAAATATTTTTTTTTTAAATTTAGTTGGAAGATCCTTTTTCTGATTTTACTGTCTAAATTGAAAATGTATCTATGATTTTGGAATTAGATTAGGAGCAGCTTAGACATGCAGCTTTGATTTCATTTTTGCTCTTTTGAATTTGAAGTAATGTCACCCATCATCAGATGCATTAGCTGTATGTTATCACTAATGATGTACTATTGGCTCTTGTTTGTCTGAACATATTTATCTTACACTTCACCTAATTTGAACAAACCCCTGTGCCATTTTCACTTGATTAACATTAAGTTCCAACTTTTTTTCTGCTGAGTTTCTTACAACCTTTTTAGATAAAAAAAAGCATATTTTCCTATTAATGTTGTCCACAATCAATGAAAAAATTATTGTAGAATAAGGAAGAATTCTGCTTTTTTTGCTGCAGTGATTTTCATTTATAAATGTTTATTACAGATTGCAATAAAAAAATTGCCATCCTATAAATAGGATGATGGGACAATGGATTAATGAAGACTTACAAAGATGGGAGATGTTGTAAAATTGCCAATGGAATAACATTTAACATTTTTTTCCTGTCACAGAGGTGCTTTCCTAACCCTGGACTTTCTAACCCTACCCTTCATTCTACACTCAGGAAAGAAAAAACGGAAAAGCTGGTCAAGTCAGAATTGTAGTTCCTTGTAGTCAAATTAATGCTACAACTCATAGTTTTTCTAGTTGGTAGTTGTTTCCAGTATTGTCTATATCCTGAAGGATTTTGTTGTCAGTAGTAGGAAACGGTCCAACATGTCAGCATTGAAATCCTCATATCCAATAGGATTTCTAAAAGCATAATATTGAAACAGTAGATTTTAACATTTCTAGTAAGCCACAGCTACACATATACACCAGGCAGAATTGCAGTAGTCACTACATCCCTGCACATCTTACAAATGTGGCAGAAAATAATCTCATGCATAATCTGCATTAATACTCCTTATACTGATAACTACCCCTCATTCTGTAGTCTCTACATTTCATCTTGATCACATTCATTCATTTGACTATGCTGTGAATGGTTTATGTCTCCCTTATACAAGCCTACCAGAAGGAAGAGTATGGTGCTTTTGATCACCCAAAATGTAGTTCCTTTAGTATTGATATAAGGGAGGAATGCCCTGGTGGCTTTGCAGTATGCATTCCAATTACAGTTTTTTGTATGGGGCAAAAGCAATTCTATTTGGGGTTTCTTCAATATGACCAGTTGGATTCCTTGGAGCATCAGAAAAGGGAAATAGAATTAAGACACAAAGCAGTACATGGAGTACCTTTTTCTTTAATAATAATATTGGTACATATATTGGTACATAACCATATCCAATAGTAATAATAATATTAGTGACCAATTTATCTGGATCTTCAATGATTAATCTGGGCACAATCACCATTTGCCTGAAGTCCAAATAAAAATTCTTTACTGTAGCAGTATTAGCAACACCTTATCATTGGACCAGCATTAAAATAGTAACTATAGCTCACTTCTTTTAGATAGACATTTATGCACCATAAAGGTTGACTTGATATAGTTCACTTTATAAATAAATAAAAAGTTGCTGAAAATGCAATTGAAAACCTTGGGATCCAAGCATAGCTTAAATTTAATCATTGTTCAATCTCTGATTTCTTGGACATCTAATGGTATATCAGTGTTTTAATGTCACCACAAATTGTTGATCACATTGAATGGTTTGTCAGACTTTGCAGTACATCAGCAGATGAGAATGTCTCGTGACTCCCCATTTGTCCTTCCATGATTCATTTTACCCATGTAATGAAGCACCATTGACATTTCATGTTCATTTTCAAAACTAACTTATCAGAAGTTTCTATCAATCATGACCATATAATCATTGACAATTTCTGTGGAAGACAAATCAGGCCCTCCAAGGTCTTTATTCTCATGATGAAAGGTTCAGATGGAATTGTCATCTTGATGAGGAAGGTTGTAAAGTATTAGTTCTTGAGGGTTTTTTTCCATGTTCCTTTTTCCACCCACCCACCATTAAGTTTCAGTGTCTTCATGCCTTGCATAGGTATCGAGGGTACGTGAAGGAGGTTAAGGAGAGTCAGGTGGAAGTGTACCTATTGGATACAGGTGTAATTGTGCATATCCCAGATGGGTCCTGCTTCCCATTGAGGCACACTCTTCTCTCTGTTCCAGCCCAGGTGCATCATATTCTCCTCCCTCATGATGCATCTAATATCTTGCTTTGACCATGGTATCCTACCCATCAGTTCTTTGCTTGATGAAGCATAACAGAACTGTTGTTTGACTATGAATCCACAAAACACAAACATGGCTGCTAGTAAATTTTATTTCTTTGAAAGTAATCAAGGAATGTCCCAATCTCCCCCTCACATGGCTTCCATCTCCATCTTCCATCATCCATGGGTTAGAAATGTTCTCTGTTGTGATCTGTTGGTGGGCTGCAGAATAAAAATGATATGTGTGATGTGGCATCAACTCCATAAAAGATAACCTTTGTAGATTGACATGGATTAGGGTATGTTTTCTCATGCTGTCATTGATAAATCACTTTGTTTTGCCAATTGGATTTGGGCCATCTTCTTTGTTTTTGTTTTCTTACATGTTGACTTCATCTTCAGGCTGTCCCTTGTGTCCTGGCCAATGTTGCCCCAGTGGAGAGAACATGGAAGCCAGAGGACATGACAACTGCTAAGCAAATTCTTGCCTTGGATGACATGGCTTCTGTTCCCTTGTTTGCCAGTGTCATTGGGATGGTAAGTCTTTTTTTTTTTTTTCTTGATTGGTTTATTATAACCAAAGGTTGAGATGTGTTGGACATATTGCATCACAAAGTCATCTCCTAGAGCAAAAAAAATTAAGATTAGGTATGAGGATTATCAACATCATATGACATTGAGTGAATGGAAACCATTTTCATCAAGGAGTTCACTGTTCAGCAATCTTGTCATATGGGGTGTGGTATGGGGGATGTGAGGGATCTTTACTTTCTATCCTAAATTATTTAATAGCCATATGAAAGGACCTTGGAGGTAAGTAACATGAGTTCAGGAGCAAGGGAGCAAATATCATGGTGAGATACTATGTTGCTCATGCAGTGTTGAGAGTTCAAATCTTAATAGTGTGAGTGTAATTTACATAAAAGGTCAGAGGGTCAGAGTACAGTGCTGCACTGGGACAATATACTCAAGAATGGGCATAACAAATGTCAGGGCTTGCGTTTACGTGCATATGCGCATCCTATACACACAAAATTCTGAAGGGACGCACAACAGAAAAACATTGGGGTCCCAGGGACGCGCGGGAAAGTTCTAGATTTTTTTACTGGTTTTTCAGACCAGTTGGCAGTTGCCTCTTAGAACCGTGCCTAAATAAACCCGTGTGCAACCTTATTAGTGACAGGAAGGGGGGGGGAGGGTCCTTGCCAAGGAAGGTGTACAACCTGAAAGTGATGAGAGCGGTGCATGATGCATTGTGTTCATGCGTTCATGACGTATTTCCGTTCGTTTCAATTTGGACTTCAAGGCAGTTTGGGCCAACATGCTTCTCATTCAGTTACAAGCTGAAAATGTACGATGTTAGTTTATTCGAATCACACGTTGGCATGCGTTCAGATGTTCCTGAACATGGGCCTAGTGGCACATAAAGAAAGGTATCAACAGCATAGGTATAAATTCTAAACAAAGTTGATGTCATCGTTCCACTTAGGGTGCACAGAGAGGGAAAGGTTTTCCCTTCGGTTTGACTAGGTCAAAGCCTACGGCAGAGATGGACGTGGGAGATTATGAAAATGGGCAGCTTGTGAATTATGAATCACAACAAAAGAAAAAATATTTTTAAAATGGAAAAAGGCGTGGGTCAAAATGTATTCCTGGCTTTCCTATAGAGATGGAAGAGCTTCCTGCGATTTCTGCTCAAATGCAAATAAGAAAAATCCCTACTCTGCTATCTGGCAGTCGTAATAAGCAGAAGTTTGTAATTTGAAAATTTTAAGATGCTTTAGGGATATTTGTTAAAGAGAAAATGTTGGAAGTAGTCCTAAAGCTGCTGGATTGAATATCATGCTTTTGGTCATGTTAAATCAGAGAAATAACATTGACTGTGGGATTTGAAACTTTTTGTGCAACATTGCAAGATTTCATCACGCTTCAATTGCGATGGGACCCCCAAATTTTTCAGAGTGACCCTTTCTTATAAGATTTCTTCCAGGATATCAGAATGTCAGAAATGTTCATTATCTGTATCATTTTATCTCTGATGGTTTCACTGTTTCATTCATGCAGATGGACAGGGGCCAGCCAGTAGTAACACTGGTAGATGAGGAGTTCACTGACATTGGGAAGTTTCTGACAGAGGTCAAAGTTGCCCAGCTGATCTCATGTGACTACAAGCCTTTTGCACCCATGTGAGCCAGCAGTTACATGAAATTATTTTTTTTTCAACATATTTTTCAAAGTCCTTGGAGTCATTTTGACCAATAGTGGCACATCAGTGTATGTGCTAGGAGGAATGCCAAAGATTGCATTCATGACTAGAAGTTGTTAATAAATGCTTATTCTTAGTGTATGAGGTGTGGCAAGAAAGAAACGAGATTGAACGATTAGCTTATGCAATACCCCCTCCACAATCAGATTACACAGTTGTTTAGCGTGGTCTTTCCTGGTTCTAACAAGTGCTTGCATGTTCAAATCGGGTAAATAGTGTTTGTGTTACACCTGTTTGTGTAAGACGTGTTTTATCGCCCTTGCTGGAAAATGTGTGATTGAAATATAGAGCAGTTCACTAACTTCAAATTTTTAGCCAAATCCAACAGAGCCACAACTGAAACTTACGGTATGTTGAAAAATGTTTATGGTGATGCAACAATGTCTTGTGCTCACGTATTTGAGTGGCATAAAAGATTTCTGGACGGTCGAGAAGATGTGCACGATGATCCGAAATCCAGTCGACCCAAAACCACAAAAACCGATGAAAACAGAAAAAGTTTGAAATTTGGTGTGCAGTGATCGCCGTTTAACGATTAGAATGATGGCTGAGATGCTAAACATGAATAAGGTATCAATTCGCAAGATTTTGATAGAAGATTTGGACATGAGGAAGGTGTGCGTGAAGATGGTGCCCAAAGTTCTGACGTACAACCACTGACGCACTGACCTTCTTGAACGAATTGGAAAAGAAGCAGACTTTCTGAACAATGTTATCACTGGTGACGAGTCATGGGTATTCCAGTACGACCCTGAAACTAAAAGTCAAAGCCTCCAGTGGACAACGACCATGTCTCCCCGACCGAAGAAGGCAAGAATGTCACGCTCCAAAGTGAAGACAATGTTGATTGTGCTTTTTGACACCAAAGGTATCATGCACCACAAATATCTTCCAGTGGGGCAAACGGTCAACCAATACTTCTACAAAGGTGTTCTAGAGCATTTAAGAGAAAAAGTCTGTTGTAAAAGACCAGAGCTGTGGCCCCACAAGTGGATTCTTCATCACAACAATGCTCCTTCTCATTCAGCGATATCAGTGAAGCAATTTTTGGCCCAAAAGCAAATCACAATGCTGGAACACCCACCCTATTCACTAGATCTCACTGGTTGTGACTTTTTTCTGTTTCCAAAACTAAAAAGTTTTATGAAAGGACCACATTTTGATGATGTAGAGCACATAAAGAGGTGTATGACAGAGCATCTAAAAGCATTCCCGAAGAGGACTTGCAAAAATGTTTCGAAGTGTGGAAGAAGAGAATGGAGAAGTGCGTTTGAGCCGACAGGGACTACTTTGAAGGGGATAACCTTTGAATTCCACAATTTTTAAATGATAAAAGTTTTGTTAACAGTCTCATTTCTTTTTTTTGCCAGACCTCGTACATAGTTTGAGTGACACCATGGAGGCATCCGTTCAAGGAAAAGAACAAAATGAAAGAAACTTAATCATCTACTTCAAAGTGCTAGTTGATTGAACAGTTTGTAATGATGTGATGAGTTTGTTGATTTAGAGGAGCCACTGTGAATAGCAGAAAATTGTTGGGACTTTTATTCTATCAGTAGCCTGACTGCTAAGGACTAGAAGAACTTCTTTGTCTTGTTAAATCCCATCCCTCCTCCCTTTGTCCTCCCTACTCTCTTGTACAAGACTCTTGACTCTTGTACTCTCTTGATTATGGATATGTTTAACCTCCTGAAAGTGAGACCATTGGCACCTGAGGGGAATCCCCTTTTTCACTTCTCACCTTGTCAGCACAAAACATTGGTAATTCTGCTTCCAAACCAATGATATTTTTTTCACTTCTGATTTACAATTGATGAGAGTACCACTTCTAACCCACACCTAATGAGAGATCACCACCTCTGACTCTACCAATCTAAAAATGTAAGTCACAATGCAAGGTAGGCTGGAGGAGGAGGTATTGGAAAGTTTGACCATCTGGACCAAGATTTGTGCATCTTGGTCCAGGCAATCATATATATACTTAAATATATCAGGTTGACATATATACACACACACACATATACACATAAACATGCTAATAAATTTGTGTTCATTTCTTCTATGTTCAGTGCATGGATGAAGGAAGGAACCCTGAAGGTGAAAGTTCCACCTTCACAACTGATGGTGAGTGCTGAAGAGGGATGCATCCCATCAATGGAAGATGCATGTGTGTCAGGCTCCTTGGCATATCACATCCCCATGGGGACAAAGACCCAAGGAGGGTGCCTTCATGTTGAGGGAGAGGACATGTACATGCTAGTTATCCCTGTGGAAGAGGCACTCCAGGAGAAATTACACCAGCTTGTTGGGAATGGCTTCTCAGAGAATGTGAATTCCTTTGAAGAGATACCCTTATCTAAGTAAGTCTTTCCATCACTTTGAGCTCATTGTGTTCATGCCTGCACAAGAGTTTCAATAGGATTCCTGACTGGATTTCCTTAGACCTGGAAATTAGTCAGGGAAATTGATTCTCAAGTTTTACTCAAAACCCTCTCTGAAACTAATGCTAAAGAAGTTACCAGATGTTGACTGACCTGATCTCCATGCAATAATGGAAGTAGTATATATAATAATGGAAGAATAGTAATGAACCTGCTAGGTGTATAAATTAATTTGATAATTGAAAACCTTCTAGCCCATCAAGGCTGCACATCCTGCCTTCAATCCCGATATCCCCCCATGCTTTCCCTATGTGTAAATTGATGGGAATGTATTTGTTAAACTGAGACTTTTTAACTTGGTTCTGTATTTTATTTCCACATATCCATATCCATAGTGTTATGTACATCTGATTTTAGAGTCCCTCTTGGGTCCATTGTGGCAGCACCATATGAAGGTGCCTGGTACCGAGCATATGTTATTGAGAAGGGGTCCTCGGCATGCAAGGTGTTCTTTATCGACTTTGGGAACCAGGGGTCAGCAGAGACATTCCGCAAAATCCCTGCTTCCTTCAGGGACTTCCCAGGTTTGGCCATGAAGGCCAGCATCTATTCCAAGGTCTCCCTCACAGACAGAGACAAGGCAATCTTTGCTGACATGCAGGCAATGGTGAGTGCTATATACCCTCCTGCAATCCATGCATTCAAATTTGCATGAGCAGTGAAACAAATTCTTGAGCTTGGCTGAAACATAACTGAATCATGACTAAAATCCCTGGATGAGAAAGATGCTGACACTGTGACTGGAGAGCAGAAGCCTTTTTTGAGGAATGCACCTTGATTAGCTTCATCTGCTTATAGAAAGTCAAGTGTCATGGGTGAAATTGTAAAAATATTTTTCATTGATTAATTTGTGCTGTTTCTAGTGGTGCTAAGAAGTAAGAACCAATTTTCATGTTTATTCAAGGAACTGGAACCCAGCCGTTGTACAGTCATCTCCACTCATTAGAATACTCTCAGGACCGGTTACCTTTATTCTATTGTCTGGGGTATTCTATTAACTGTTCAGTACTTTTACCATTTGCACAGAAAAATGAAAGTAAGTAGATGGTCCTTCAAAGTAATTTAAAAATTGTACATCAGTTTTGAGGAGAGTTTATTCCTTCAAGCTTAATATTCCCATTACCTTATTCATTCATGCAATGACTTCACAATTCATGGCATGGTGAAGAAATTGGGACCATGCAATGGAATTCCATTTGGAGTCCAATAACTGAAGTCTACTATTTTTTACTCAGTTCTGTTATTACCATGAAGATCTGCATTACTGCAGAGGGTTCATAAAGTCATGCAAAACTTGTGAACATCTGCCAAGTTTCATTTTAAACCAATGCACAGGAATGCTTCACAGGAATTTTGTTCCACTATACACCTTGAAGCGTCATTAGTAGGCTGTGATGTTACAATATGCATTTCTCCTGTGATTAAGTTTTTGATGAGCCATTCCTTTATAGACGTGGTGGTAATGTACGTAGGAGCAGTGTGTGCTTGTCATGGAGATGTTCTTCAAACTGGAGTCAATCAAATCATGTTAACTTGAGTCTACTAAGGAACTTGGAGAGTGTCTGCTTCTAATGCATCCAATAAATGTACTCTTTGTTGGAAGCAAGCATCATCATGCCTTGGCATGCTTTGATGCTGCTTTTGACATTTTCCATATCATTATGAGAAGTACTGAAGGACATGTTTAAATTAAATCCTACAAAATTTGAAGTGCATTTTTTCAATTTAAGGTGGTGATACATATTTGCAGATGTTGCATGACTTCATGAACACCCATATGATGTTAATACTTGTGTTACTCAAGTATGAGCTAGGGCCTTCAAATAATTATTGGTTTCCTCCTTACACCCAAATGGCATGGTAGCTGGTTCCTGAATTCCATAAATTCTTATAAATATTGATAAAAAATGACACCATACTAGGTGAAAAAAATTGACACAAATTATCTTCAGTATATGTTTCACTGAATTGTCTTTTTTTTGCACTCATTCTCCCTTTTCTTTTTGCCTTTTTTTAAATTGGCTTTCCACTCATGATATGCATCCTGTTAGGTACATGAGTTACAGGGATGCAGCTTGTATATGTGTGGTGTTCTGTTTTTTATTATTTTTTTTATCAGTGTAAGTCCTTGATGCTATCTCTCAATTTCATTTGGACATTTTTCTCAGGCAGTTTCACTTGACATTGTTCTCTGGCTCATACTCAGGTGAACCTCTGTATGGTCTTTAATGCTTGCAGAAGATATCCCAGGTGAACGTGGAAGTTGTAGAGAAGCGAGATGATCGGATGAGGGTGAAAGTGCTTGATGGGGATCATATACCCAAGAACAATCTATCTCTCATTCTCAGCCCTTGGTACAAAAAGTTCCACTCCCAAACACCATCTTCACCCAATCTCCCTGAAGCACAGCAAGAGAGTATTGTCACCTCGTTGCTTCCATCGTAAGTTCCCCTCTTTTTTCTTTTCCAATTTTTTTTTACTTTGAATAGGACCCTGAGTTTAGGGTAAGTGGAGTCTTCATTCATATCTGCCTAATATACACTAGAACTATGAACTAGGTAATCTTGATGAGCAAGAAGGTGGCTTCAAGCTGTATTTTTCCTAAGTTTTTCTGTCTTCTTAGATTGTCACAAGTACTCCAAAATTTTGCTTCTAATCAAGAGAAGTTATTTGTGCATTTGTCTCTGATCTTATTTACTCCTGGTTGCTATAATGGCTGCCATTGGTTGATTATGAATGATTAGTCTGGATTACTTGTAAGCCAGAATGAATGAGTCTTCTCCAGATTTAAGAGTTTGACTGAACCAATTTGAAAATTATTGCTGAACACTGTTTTTCTGGATTTCTTTGCAAACAGTGAACGTCAAGTTCCTTTGGCTGATCACCTTCAGTGGCCTCAACTGATAGTTGGCAGGAGATACCAAGTTATCTGCCCTTTTATGCTCTCCCTGGAAAAGATATTTGCCCAGTTTTTGGACCAGAAGGAACTTCTGGGCAGACTTGCCACTGCCCTGGAATCATATGGGAAGACAGAGCATGGGAAGTGGGCTGGGCAGGCATATGCCCCCCTTCAGGGTGAGGTGGTGGCTGCCATCTTCCCTGCTGATCAAGTCTGGTACCGTGCCAAAGTACTCAACATCCCAGGAAATGGCACTATCCGTGTGGAGTTCATTGACTATGGCAATGAGGAAGTCATTCCTGCCTCCAATGCCTGCCCCCTTCCCAAGGACTTGGCCAAGGTCTATTTCTGTTCTGCATTTTTTAACAAAACCTACCTGATGGTGATTTTATTGTTTTGCTCAGGATCATAATGCATAGACTGTGCATAAATGTATTACCTTATTTACTTCTGTATAGTGTACCACCATGTACAATAAGCACTCCCGCTTTTGACTGCCCAAAATGTTAAAAGAAAAGTTTCCCATATATGAGGCACACTGTATTTCAAAACAAGGACCCCTGAGAGGGAAGAGAAAAACTATCCCTTTATCCCATTAAAGGTCATTAGGTTCTTTTGGACTCCTTCAATTTTGGCTTCTTTATTCACTTTCAGTATTTGGTAGTCCTTGAAGTCATACTTATGGCCTATTGAACAGATGCCCAACTCCTTTGCTTATTGAATCGTAATAATCCCTCCTAAAATGTGATTATACTGCACTCTTGAGGAAAAGTTGAAAGAAATAAGGGATGTCAAGTGCTCTAATGAAACAGAATCTATACTGTATTACTAATGAGCATAAATGTCTGTGTGAAGCCGCTTCTCCTTGTAGATGGTATGACTCCTGACCATGAAACTTGGACCTTAAGCTTCCTTGGGATAGGGCATCAGGATGAAGGAGTTTGGTGACTCTGTGACCGATGGGTCACAAGGCCAATCTTAGGTCACCTGGGTCATTTTTCATCCAAAAAATATGATTCTTTGTTTTTAGGGGCCATGAAGCCCTCTGAGTTTGCTGGTGAAGTTCGTTTTTTGATTGCCATTCCCCGTTGAGATATTAGAGGTCACAGGTCAACATTATTCGAGGTATTCTCCTGGTTGGGGAACTCCTCCCCTACCAATCAGATCCGAGCAAAACAGGCATCAATGAAAAACTTGACATCTCGGCAAGTTCCCAAGTTTTACATATTCGTCATGTTGCAATTAAAACTACAAGTTATGACCCCAAGAAACTTGCAAATGTAGGGGATCAATGGATCAATTGGTAGTGTGTTGGGCTCGCATGACAGAACAAAGATTCCAAATGCGACTGAGTTGGTCCTTTCTTTCTGATATAGATATATACATTTGAGATAAAACACTGAGCACGAAAAACTCTGGTCTCTACATGTGGAACATCAAAGAATGTGGGGAGAGCAAATGCATATCCCAGGAGTCACAGTAGAGAGGAGTTCGGGTATGTGGGACCCACAGGGCACCCACACAGAGTGTGGTAGTGGCAAGAATGAATGGGAGTGGAACCTTTTGGAGTGGAACTGAATGTGCATCAATTAAAGTACCTTTAGATGTGTGAGGAAGACTGCCCATTTTGTTTCTCTCTCATTTCATTTCTCTTTCTAACCTGCAACAGCTTGGGTTTTGGCTTGTATGACTATATGGGGTAAGACAAGTGTTCTCAGAATGTATCTTTTAACCAAGCATCTCTAAGTGTGACCCTGATACAGAGTGAGTCAATGCAGCCATTCTTTCTTGCACCATGCTTTATTCTTTCCTTTTTTATAACTGAATGAAGGTACATTTCCATCCCAATAAGAGACCTCTGTGCTACCAGTATGTGGGGAAAAAAAGTCCTGTAAATGGCTTTTCTCCCTCCTTCCCCCCCTCCCTCCCCAAATTTGATATAAGATGCACTGTCTCAAGAACATCTATAAAATGTGTTTTAAAAATGTACCTTATACACAGGTAAATATAGTATCATTTTGTCTCCCAGGATTACCCTGTGCTGGCAGTTACAGTTTGCCTGGAAGGAGGCAACACTCTCAATCTCACTGAGGATGCAAATCCTGTCATTTTCAGCATGTCTGTGAATCCTGTAACCATGGTTGTGGTATGTTCTAGTCCCATTCAGGAATTGTATAAAAGAAGTGCTAAATGATTGATGCAAGTGATGCTTCTTGTTTTGTGCAGAAAGATGCCCTTTCTCAGCCAGCTGTGGTGGATTTTGAGTTGGAGGATGGTCGTACCCTCACCCAGCTTCTCAAAGGAGAACCTGCTCCCACCCCTCCACCACCTAACCCAATTCAACTGACCAAAAACCCCATCAACAATGAAGCATCTGGTAACCCATCTCTGCTTATGTTGTCTGCTCACTTTCATGAGTAACTCTTAACACTTAGTTGCACCTTGCTGTGAGTTATGGCAAACTGCAATTATTATTTTGTTTTTCAAAATGTTATGAAGTATATTTCAAAGGAAGGCAATCGCCAGTAATTAATCTGACAAATGCAATATTTACAATGTTATACAGGAGAAGGTCTTGGCAATTACAGGGTGACTCATAAGTCCTTGGACAAGGAAACAATGTTATTTCTCTGCAATGAAGAGCTAGAGCAAAACCAATGAGACCAATGGAGAGAGAATAAAAAAACCCTACAAAATGAGTATTTCCTTTTCAAAATAGCCACTCTTGGCAGCCACAACTTGCCTCAATCATTTTGGGAAATTATATACAGGATTTCGAAGCTGCTGGACCGGCATTTCATCCCATATGCGCCTGAGATCATGTTTGAGAGCCTCCAAAATTTGGTGGGTTTTTGCGCAGACCTTGGTCTCTAAAGAGAACTAGATACTGTAATTCATTGGATTCAGATCAGGTGAGCTGGAAGGCCATTCTTCTGGTGTGATCAAGCCAGGAAAATTTTTTTGACTCCATTCGATTGTGCTTTTCACCTTGTGTGCAGGGTCTGAATCTTGCTGGAAGACCCAGCTTCTGCCATGGAAGTGCTCTTGGGATCAGGGTAGTAAGACCTTCTCTAAGACCTCTTCTCAATAATAGGAAGCATTGATTTTGACCTGGGGCGCAACAAAATGCAGAGGTGTTTTGTCAGTTGCAGTAATTTCTGCCCAAACCATCACAGAAGCTGGTTCCTGCATCCGATAGACTAGGCAATGATGTGGCTGCACGCAGTGTAAATTTTTACCCCAGACATGATTGTTTCAAGGGTTGTGAGCCTGCTTAATGGTTAAGATCTTCTCATCAAAAAAGAGGATGTCACAATGTTAACCTTGCTTAAAACACTTCAGGAGAAGTCCAGCCTTTTTCACCCAAGCCTTCTTGTTTTGATCTGATAAAAGCTGGACATTCTGTTTTTCATAGGCTTTGAGGTTTAGCTTGTCACTGAGAAACCTTCTAAGTGTTTCTTTGTCCACTCCGACAGTCGCAGCAAGCTTTCATCCTAAGCGTTCGCCATTCCGTTTGAGTAGCTGCTTCACTTGTCTGAAGAGAACATTCTTGAATACTGATGGGTGACCACTTCTAGATCGATCTGCACTTGTTCCAAGTACCTTGTAGCGCTTGATGGTGTTGCAAACTGTGGAATGAGGCACTTCCAGCAACTTCACTATCTGCTTTGCCGAATGTCCATTTTTGTGGCAAAAAATTATCGCATCTTGGGCCTCCTGCATCCTGGTATGAAGAGCAATCTGGGTGAAACTTGGAGGGAGTAGAGAGTTGTGCCTCATGCTTGAATGGGAAAAAAATTGTGGGAATTGATTCAAACCTCCCTGTCATTTTAATCATGTCCAAGGACTTTTGAGTCACTCTGTAATATTTATCTGTGGATTTATTTATGGATGCCAGATCTGATTTCAATCTGAGGATGAAAGCTGCTCATAACTGTTCATGAAATTTCCTTTTTTTTTTGTTTTCAGGCAATGTGAGATTGGTTCCTTAAGGGATTTGCCTTTTTATGAAAGTTTCATGGATAAGCACAATGACTTTTTTGTGCAGTGCTACTGCTGTAGCAGTGGGGGTGGTTGAGGAAGTGATGTACATTTTATTTTGCTTGAGAAACATCTTTGGTAGAATTGAAGTTTTTGCTTTTTTGCTTTTTTTTTATCATTTTTTTTAAATATTGGATGTATCTTCTGGCCAGAAAGCTCTCCATCATGCCAAACTGGTGTCAGGGCAGACTTGGGTACAGATATTAAATCTACTGTAAGTAGGTTTGCACTTAGGGATTTTGGTTATGGATGTGGTGTGACTCTTGTCCAGCTTGGCACCATTTTGCATCTGGAGCTGGCACTATTGACAAGCATGTAATCTTGCAGTGTTTCCTGACAGCCATCTAAATTATCTGCTCTTTTTTTTTTTATCAAGGAAGTTCACTATTCTTGCCTTATAAGAAAAAATAAACCCTTTTTTTACTAAGATTTTGGCATGTCTACTTCATGAAATACTATAGTAGTTTAAATTTTAGTATGATTACTATTCAAATCTTAAATTGCTTCAATGCAAAATCTGATGTTCACCTTTTGCTAAAATTATAAATAATTTCAAATATTTTGCATTGCCATGAGATGCAAAATTTCTTAGTTAATTATATGATTATACAAGCAACATATTACAAAGAAAAATTGATGCTCTCAAAAATCAGCTCTTCCAGCACTTTGATCCACAAGTACTGTACAGCTTACTGGGAACAAGAAACCATTGTCTTCATTCATCCCACAGAAATTCATCAACTGAAAGAAACATGGCAAAGTATTTATATGATCTGGCAGTTGAATTGTTAAGTTTTGGCAGCAATGAATTGTACCGAGTCTAAATGTGGTTTAACTTTTTGTATGGCCTGCATAGGGATGCAGTTTTTTTTCTATCAAAAATCCAACTCCTTTTAAAAATTTGACAAAAGCCTTTGTGATCTCCTTTCCTTTACTAATAGGACCTACATATGACCTGGAGAGCTTTCCTGTGGGTTCTTTGCCCATTGGGGAGAAAGTAAACCTCATTCCAATTTCTGTTGATACCCCAAACAACTTCTACTGCTGGCTGGATGATAAGAATGGCCTGGATGACTTTCGGGCCTTCACAGACAAGATGAAATCCCATTGTGAGAAAACTGTAGCCCTCCAGCCTTCCCCCTATCATCCGCAACAGTGTGAAGTCTTCCTTGCCTTCTCTATTCGTGAGTCTCTTCCAAATCATGAAGTAACTGGATATGTTGCCTGTTAAAGAAGTCTTGCCTTGATTTCCAATGTGGCATTCCATATGGAATTGCTGGATAATTTTGAGCCAATTACTTAAAACAAGTAATTAGTCACTGGGCCAATTAATGGAGAAATCATTTACAATTTATTATTTTTCAGATGATTGGTATCAGCATTGATAGGGCACAGCAGGTGCAAGTCTATGAATGTTGAGAGGAAAGCATTCTTCTTATATTAGTGAAATAAAAATAATTTCTGGATGGAGAGAATGAGGATCATGAAGATACCAATGAGCCTCAAATAATTCTCCAGTGATAAGGTTAATTCCTTAACCATATATAGATTAATTTTATACAAGTTTTAAGGTTAATGAAGGCCTTTCTTAAATTTGAATGAAAAGAATGTTATGTCAAGATAATGGTTTTGCTTATTTTGTTGTTTTCCAGTGTTTGTACAGAGTTGAGAAAAGAAATTCAACTAGATAAGGCCCTCTTTTTCCTCAGGAATTTTACAATGGAACATACCAGTTATAAACTTTTGACTTAGAACCTTTTAATTGCTTCAGGCAATTGAGCCAATTGTGTGATGTTGCTCATGGAACAGAAATTCTGGAAATTTTTTTCTCCAGAATATGGGGAGTGGTACCGGGCAGCTTGTCTGGAGATCACTACTGAGCAGATGATTGTCCTTTATGTGGATTTTGGGAGTATGGAGACAATCAGCCTCAATGATAGCCAGTGCTTGCCCTTGACCCCAGAACTGGCCCAGCAGCCTGCACAAGCTCACTTCTGTTGCCTCCCAGGTCAGTCCTTCCCTTTTTTCTTTATTTTTCATTATCCTCCATAGTATTTTCCATGGGTCTATGATTTCTTGAATGAATTTTTTTTTTTTTCAAAGTATATAGTCCATACCTGAAGATGCATGTTTTCCTGACAAATGGAAGAAGAAGTAGTAGAAAAGTTTTATAATGGCTGAAAACAAAGGTTTCAGGAGTTGCTCTTCAGGCAAAATTTTTTTAATTCAAAAATCTGTTGGAGAGAAGTTATTGTTAGCCTCAGAAATTGACAAATAATGTTAGCTTTAATATCTGATTGTGAAATATGGCTTTACCCATCCATCAGTGTTATGAGATCAACTTCCTCTTGCCATCCATTGGGTCCAACTTGAAGGCTCTGGCAAAAGCAGTCAAGTGTGACAAAAGGACCATGAAGTATTGGTGTGATCAATGGAAGGAATCTAAAGATCTGACTCATTCTGGCTGACTGCATGCAACACCAAAACAGGATGGATTCTTTTGCTCACCAATCAAGAAATGTTTGCAATGAGCTGTAACATCAACAACCATTTGAAGAGGAAAGGAGTCAAGATTAGCTAGTATACCATTTGGCACTGATAGAATGAAGCTTTGGCAAAATTTTGTCCTCTGATGTCCAAGCCTCTGCTCACTGAAAAACATCAAAATGATCATTTGAAAAGTATTGAAGTCCACCTGTCCACCTATCAGGACTAAGTGATCTTCTCAGATGAAACAACTTTTTATCTGAATCAGGTAAAAGAGCAAGTCTGAAATCTACTGGGGGAAAAAGAAAGTTGCCCAAACTGGTTAAGCACTCCACCTGAGTCTACATGTGGGGTTGCTTTTCAAGGATAGGCTTTGGTCACATATTTTGTTTCAGGAAGAACATCAACACTGCACTGTTGTGCATCATGTTGTGCAACATCTACGAGTGCGGCCTCTTGCCAACAGCTAGGGACTGATTTGGTCCCAAATCAACATTGTGGAAACTGCAGAATGATGGTGACCTGAAGCACAAGGGTGAAGCTGGCAACAAAGTGGAGAGCAGAGAATGGGGTTCAAAAACTCAATCAGCCAGCTGTATTACCTGATCTCAAATGAATCAGTAATGTGTGAAAAATACTCAAGATTTGGTTGCAAAAGAAAAAACTTGGAACTTATGGTGTCAGCAATCAGACGAGAGTGAAAGGCAGTCCTGATGGACTTGGCTGTAAGACTTGTAGAAGTATGAAGACTCATGTTTCTGAGGTCATTGAAAGTCATTTTATATGGTATTAATGATCAGGGTTTCCTTTGTGCATAAATAAAATAAAATAATCTCTTCATTGGCTCATCTGATAAAGTTAGTGGGGGTTGGGAGACTTTTGACAAGTACTGTACATGCAGAATCTCAGCTGCAGATGGGTGGGGTAGTGGCTGAAGCTTGGGACCAGGAGTCCATGACTCTGGATTGTATCAGGCTGGAAAAGTGTTGGCATACTATGTTTATAGCATCCTGTTTCTGAGAGTTTTTATGTTTTGCTCTACTGGGTGTTTGTTGGGACACTTTGTTTTGTCCATAAGAGATTAATATAATTTGTGGTTAATGAGCCTTCCAAATTGAGTGAGTTCATTACCTCTTGCATTGAAGTGTCAGTGGAGTGTATGGGATGGACAAGTGATTTCCTAACTGAAAACACAGAGTATTGTCTGGATATGTTGCAGTGGTGTCTCTGGGTGAGCCCAAGTTCCCTTTGGAGGCCACGACAATCATGTTGAATGTTCTTCCTCTCAATATTTCCTTTGAGGCAATCGCCATCAGCCATGACTCTTCCATTCAGCAGTACACTATCATGCACAAGCCTTCCATCCAGGCCCTGGTTGAGAAAGGCTTGGCCCGTTCCAGTGAATGATCCTGTCTTGTGTCTCCAAGTTGAGATAGTCATGTATGCTTAGAGTCCTTGTATTTATGGTACTGGAGATTTTGTTGCAATTTATGTGAATGGACAAATCTCAGAATAGTGCTCTGATTTGCCAACAGACTCATAGAAGTTTATGAGATTGTTATGTTTTTCAAACAGACTTCTAATACTTATGGGGCATTTTCTGATTTGCACAATTTGTGGGCACTTTGATGGGCAGTTTTCAGCACATAACCTCTGATTCCTTCTATTGGCTTCCCTATATGTATCCCATCTAGGAGGAACTGGAGAGAATTATAACTTCTAGATGTTCTGTTGGGAAACATTTCCCAAAGCTCTCTGACCTTCCTCTTTCAGGCATATTCAACTGGAACATAAGATCATAGTGAAGCTAAGCATTGATTACCTTATTAATTTGAAATTATACATGGATTATTGGTCTCCACTGGAATATTTGTAACATGGCTTGAATTGATGTGAATTTCTCTTGCACCAAAGGATCCTTTGTGAACAGGCCTTTAGCTCTTTTGGGGGACCAACCATTTAAGAGGTAAATATTGAAGGTCCAGGTTAAAATAAGAATGAAATATCTTAGCTGTACTTGGAGGAATTGAAAGGCAGAGGAAAAAGTAGCTCATGTAACTAGTTAGTTATAGTCTGGTAACTGGGGAAATTTAGAGTTAAAGTGAAAATGATAGCTTCTTAGTTGTAATTGTTGGAAGAAATGAAAGCCAGACCAAAATGTAGTTACTATGCCCAGAAAATTATTGTCTGGCAACTGAATATATTAATGTGTATACCATTATTCATGAAAGGATTGAGGGCTAAGACAAAAAGGAGTTACTGAGATAGGTAAGGTTGTTATTGTAATCCTTGGAAAATTTGAAGGCTGAGACAAGTGCCAGATAATATTCATGCTTCATAATCCTTGGAGTAACTTCAGAAGTTGCCACGCAGATGATCCATCTCAACTCACCTCAGTTTAAAATTTCCCTGTCTGTGCTGCTAGAAGGCAGAAAGTTGATCTACTTGCCATATATATATATATTGTTCAGTCAAGTTGTTCATTGAAACAACTTGACTGCTCTTCTGTCCTTTGAATTACTCAACTTTTGCAGCTTGTGACATCTGCTTTGGTTCCTTTTGCCCTGTTGTGGTGCTATTGACAGGCCTTATGGGCTGACAATTTTCTTCCTTGTGCCCAGTCATCCTAGAGGCCTTGTGATTCTTTGAATTGTTCAAGAGTGCAGGTTTTGGCCTGTTTTGTTAGAGGATATTGAATAACCATTTATTCATCACAAGTGCAAAGTGCCCTTCTTGATGTGTCATTTATTGTAATTGTCAGTTATTTCTTGAAGTTCCCATCTACTGTTTGAGTATGTAGAACTAGGACTGCCATATCATTTAATTCATTTGCACATGAGTATTATTCCTCAACCTTCTTGTGCTCCTTATCATTATTCATTTCCCGTGTAATTTGAAATATTAGGATTGTACCATTCCTCAAGATGGAGCAATGGTTGTAACTGTATGAGAAACTGGTCATTGTATGCTTTGTTTCTGTGAATTTGGCTCAGTCATTATCCCTTTGGATTCAAGTGTTTCTGAATGACTAATGACTCCTTCCTTGATCTCATTGTCCATAAAATTATAATCTGGAGTAGCTTTGGCATTCCTTACAGCTGGGCTCCCTACTAGTCATGACCATGCATGTTTTCTTGCAGGAAATTAGTGATTCATAATCTGGATTTGCATTTGGGCATTAGGTTTTTGAATCGATATATGCAGAATAATGTTAGGCATTGCAAACTGGTGTAGAAAAATTTACTTTATGTGCAGTGCTGTCTCCGTGCTCTCTCTTTGTGCCTTTTGAGGGTTTTTCCAACTTTTTTCTTCTCCAGTCCTCATTCTGCAGATGTACAGTCTGTTCTTTCCTCTCTTTTTGGCCAGTAAGTAATAAACTCCTGCATTTCTATGCTGTCAGAAAGGACACTCATTCAGTGTCAATGTCTCATTGAGATTCTCTTGAAAGAGTTGTTACATGATTTTGCCACAGCAGCCAGTTATTGTATCCATTGAAGTAACTTATGCATCAACCTATTACAACTCTGATGGAAAATTTCTATTGCATAGCATTTGTAAAACCTGCTATAGGATTCATTATTTTGCTGTACCACCTTGTGATACCCTAATGAGGCTTTTCCTGTTTATTGTTTACAAGAGACAAGCCAGAGACTAGTAAAAATGCACCTGAGGAGAAATGAGATCATCCTTGGATTACATCTACTAAGGAAATTCCTAAAACATTCTTCTCAGAGAGATGTCCATGGATTAACAGGGTAACTACTGCACAGAACATCAAAACAAACAAACCTGGCCAATAGTAAAAAATTGAAATTCATGTATTAAAATTTCATTGACTGTCTTTTTTAGCTTTTCCAACCATAAGGTATTCTTGCTTTTACACCATGAATGTACTTTTGTTTAATCAAAATTTCACATATTTTGCCATGGCAACAATCATCTACCCCTGAACTTGTGTGTGAAAGAAATGTTGGAAGAGGCTTCCACACTCTTAGACAATGCAGATATTACAGGTATTACCAAAAAAATTTCTGGCCACTACAAGCACCACACCTGACCTTTCCTGCCACATTTGGAGTGAAAAAGTGATTTACTCTTCAATGTCTGGAGCCAGAGTTTTTGTGGTAAAATCTCCAAAAATGGCACACTCTGCAGTACTGGGTTCCTTTTGGTTCTTTCTTAAATTAGAGACACAGAACCTTCTCCTTCCACTTGTTCTTGGCTGGGCTCAATGAAGCGATCTCCAACACCTGCTGACACTCCTCAGGAGTTTGTTGATTAATTGAATTCCTAAGTTCCTCTTCCCCACTTGGAAAAGTCTCCAGAATTTAGACAACCAAGCAATCAAGAAGTACTAATGACTTTTAAAAGTGGAAATAATTGTATTGACAAAAGAGGTGAATATCCAAAATATTAAGCTCTTTATTGATTCCAAGGCTGAAGAAACATGTTAAAATTCCATAATTCACATTGCCATTCCCAAGTCAACCGACACACTGATAATAAATAAAATGATTCACAACAGCAATTCATATTTAGGAGAATATACATATGCTTGCTTGCTCCCATTCATATATAGTTCAGGAATGAGTTTTATCAAGAAATCACAGAATAAGAGACTTTGAGGCAGAGGCACAATCTCAACTTAAAAAACAATTGATTTTGCACCATAACCTGTGAACATTTTCAATATTTTTCTCCCATTACCATTTCTAAAAACAGCTAAATTACTCCCTCATGAATATGATAATGAGAAACTGTGAGAGCAAGTGCAGTATTAAGTGGAAATGATTGTTATATACCTTGATAGAAAGGAGCAACTTGACAAAGACCAAAACTATTGGAATGCAGAAAACTCTCATCAGTGAGGATGAGTCTGGCTTGTGGAATCTGAAAAAATGTCTTCTCCCTTTTCATAGGATGAGTCCCCAAAGTATACCTGAAAAGTTTCAATAACATGATCAAGCATTCCATGAATTTCGCCAATGTTGTCCAAATCAGCACAAGATCAGATCTCAAACTTGGCTGTCAGTTCAACAAAGTGGGATAAACCATGCACCATATTGACATTTTAAATTCAATTGAGGTCTCTTCATACAGTTTTTCCCAATTGCTAACGTCCGTTTCTCAAAACTACACTTCCGTTTTCAAAACAATTTGAACAAATCCCCGAACTCTGCAATCTTTTCACAAAACTTAACATCCGATTTCATTGCTAACGTACGAAAAGCGAAACTCGAAGTGCGATTTTCATATCTTCACTGACCTTTTTCGAAACTTAACGTACAGAAAAGGATAAGAAGATCAATTCGACGAGCGCCAAACGTTGAAAGAATTTCTTACGTCGATGCAGAAATGTAATTGACAAGCGATAATGCAGACTGCGATTCAGTATTATCCTAAATACCTGATCTTGAGTATTTACTTACGATTAATTTCTGTTATTACCAGCTAAAAAGGGTTGAAAAGGGAATTGCAGCCCCGAGTTTATTGGTGAAAATTGTTGCTTATTGCCTTGAGCTGATCGCATCAGTCAGCCATTTTATGGTCATTTTTGTTTGTCATAGGTTACAAAAGTTGTATGACCTTGGGGCCCATTTTCGTTCATAAATATGAGTGTTAATTACGAAAATCTCATGTCATGACGCAAAATCTTTCCAACTTAGGCTCGCCAATTGCCTCGTAAAGGGGTTTTCAGACCCTGCACTCTTTTTGAATGCTGACGAGAGATGCATATATTTTTTTGCAGCCTCCTAGGAACATACAGCCCAGATAGGATCGTGTCTTATTGGTATGGGAAGCGATTTCTGCCATTTTTTAAATGCATAAAAATGCATGTTTTTACACATTTCTCAACATGTGCATATTTATGCATGTTTCGGTCATTTTTATAAAAAAAAGTAAGAGTTTCCCAACAATATGTTTATATATGAGCAATCGATGACAATTTTGAGACTGTTATGCACTGGCTGGAGTGGTAAATCCCCAGAAACTCTCTTCTAAATCCATCCACTACCACCATCCCTCTCAAAGAGTTTCGAAAAATAGACTCTGTTCGTTTCCCATAGCCGTCCATTGGCGAATTCCTGACTTCGCCGCTGATTGTCGCAAGAATAGATCAACTATACTCAGTTGAGGCATGAAATGTACCTTAAATTTCCTTCACCTGAAAAATTTGTACTGCATTTAAAAAAGTATGATTTTGCATATTTTCCCATTTTTGTGCATATTTCAATTCGTGCATATTTTACCATTTTTAAGCGCATATGCATGTGCATATTTTAGGGCTTATTAGCTTATAAAAATCCGCTTCCTAATGACATAAGTCAAGAAGTGACTTCTCAAAATAACAGTCTGACTTTTTTAGGCTGTGGAAAGGAAATGGGAAATGTGGGAAAATGGACCCAACAGGCAGAAACCGTGATCGCAGAGGCATCGATTGTGGTGCAGAAATGTGCAATTCCCCGTTTAACGAAGGCGAGAAGGGAAGAATGGGAGGAGGGAATTTGTGAGCAGCACCTCCTCCAAATATCTCACATGAAATAATTTCTATGGGCTGTTGGATGGCTTTCATAGGATTAAGTCTGCATCGACTTTACCCGGTCGATCACAGTTGAAACACCCGGCAAATGCATATCCACTCGAGAACCGAACCTACATCGTGTGAGTCGTCCGAGTAGACGTCGAGGACGAGAGGTCCTCGGCGTATGATCTGCAAAACCGTAAAAATAGTTCACGAACAAATTTCACGGAGAAATGACTTCAGTTCATTGGCACTAGCACACCATCGGCCAGATATAGCGCCATCGACGATATTTAAAATCGTCATACGGCATGCGTGCCGTGCGTCCTTCGCCGAAACAAACTTTCCGATGGAATGCATCGCCGGTGTCCTTTAGAGCGAATTCGAGGCACTCGCGTCGAAACTTAACGTCCTTGCCTCGGAAAGTAACGTACGCTCCATCGTTTGACGTCGGGGAGGTTCTGGTCGGTTTCGCTTCGTACGGCCGACGGGGCGGGCATCGATCCGAGAGACGAATCGCCTTCCCGTTCGCGGCAACGGATCGTCCGGAGAGTTTTGCCGACGGTGCGTTAGGTTTCGACTCCAGGTACGTTAGAAATCGATCGTAGGACGTTCTGTTGTCCCTTTTGGAGAGCGGAAATCGAATCTCGACGGCAGTACGCACGGTTTCGACACGGGTACGTTAGGTTTTGAAAGCATCACATCATTACATCATCGCCTTTCCGTATTCTGAGGAATTATTTTCCCGTTCTGCTTCTTGGCCGTCCATAGACGTTCCTAGCCCCATACGTTAGAATATCGAAGAACGTACTTTGATTTTGACAAAGGGATGCCCTTTTGACTGCCGGACGCATAGATATGAGAAATGAGCGCAGCATTTTGCGGATCGTACGTTAAGTTTTGAAAAATGTCCATCGAGATATGAAATAGGGCTTTAGCAATTGGAAAAAACTGTAACATGCATGGTCCAGGATTAAATGTAAGAAAGGAAATGCATTAGGTTTTCTTTAAAGAGGTCAAATAGGATGATCCCAGCTCTATGAGAATATCCCTTTACCATCTGCACTGTGATTGTAAATGACTTTCCATGGTTGGGGGGGATTTTTTTTTTTCCAAAAGGAATTGACTGGATGACAAAGAAATCTGATTACTTGTGGCCAATATTGATAGAATCTTTAAATGAAGGAGTCCTATGTCACAGCTCACCCGAGGGGAGAAGACAGGTAGAGCGGAAGTCTGGATAACTTCTGGATTGAGAAGCAGGGGAACGGACATGGGAGGTGTCGGAGCTGTTCCTGTCCCTTGAGTCACCAACCTTCCTTCCATTGGTGGAGTCATCGGTGCCATCCTGGCGTCCTTTGATGCTGGTGGGGATCTTTCCAATAGTGAATGGCTTTCAACTGGATCTGCTTCTGCTCCCCCCTACATCAGACATCAACTTCCATTAACAACAGTTTAAGATCATGAATGCAGGCAATCTTGTCACTTCACTTCGTGGAAGAGACTCAGAAGATTGACTGTACAGTGAAGTTTTTTATTTATACAGCATTTGATTTTTTTTGTTTGCAGTTACAGGGAAAAGCAAGTTGCAGGGCCAAGTGCCAGACATCATGTTACTTTTCAAAGAAAGGAACAGGCATTTCCTGCCTCTCAAAGAGTACATGGCACAATTAAATCTCTATTTTGTCAAGACTTGGGTCAAAAAATGGGATCAGGTGTGCCACCAGACAACTGTCTGATCCAAGAAAATGCAAGCCTTCTACCGATTTTGGCCTCATCCATGTGACTAAAATTTATGTCTAGCAAAAGCGACATTTTGTGCAATCAGGATTTTGCCCATGCTTACAATTCAAAGCTAAGGAGTACACCTCAGTCTGAGAGTCAGATAAAGCTATATGTTGCTAATATGAATGTATTGTTGTGTGGACATTGGGAGAGAGTATATTGAGGCAATGTGTGAGTAAGGAGTTAATACCTTATACCAACATGAAAGTGTTGCCAAAACTTATTGAATGTCCCTTGTATTCTCATATGTGCATATTGAACCTTGCATTTTTCTCAACATTTGTATTGTATACTAAGTCTATGTTGGTATCCAATTAATAAGATGAATGGATGCCAACACAAACCTGGACATTATTGAGTGATGAGATGACCACTGTTGATGGATCATGAGGGGCATTTGAGTCCGGAATGTCCTCTCTTGGTATCTCGGCAACTTCAGGAGCTGACAGTTCCTTGGGTTCTCTTTCCACCAACGTTGAGCTGAAAGAGAGTTCAATACTTCCATTTCAGGATTTCATCCAATTATTTCCTAAGCCTGTCCTTCCCATTAGCCCTCATCCTCAGTAAATTACTATGTACTTTAGATAAAAAGAGACATGCTTGAATCTCTCTCTTAGCTACAGGGTGCACCAGCAGAAGGAATAGTTACATTGCAGGAATTAATTGACATACAATGTAGAAGCAGTATCAAAATAAAACTAAAAGAAAAAATATTTTCAGATTTGTGCCAAAAAGATACCTGACATAGTTGCCAGATTGCCACTTTCTAGGTTAAATGAATGAACACTTTCCCGAATGTTGACTTGGCTGTGGTGGCCCCTTTGATTAGTCTCCACAAATTTGCAATCTCATGCCTCTGAATTTCTATTTGTAGGGTGTTCTGAATGAGAAATTTTATTATACATCCACACAACTTGCCAGAGTTTCACAGAAGCACTTAGATTGCCTTCCATGGAATAACACCCAACATGTGAGTAAAAAGTGTGCCAGGCATTAAAATCTAATTTTCAGGATTGCATTGAAAGGAGGCAGTAACAGGTTCTATGATGCCAAGTTGCAATTCTTATTTTGCAAATCAGGAAAGAGGGAAAAATAAACTTGATATACTTTCTTCTTTCCACATCAATTAGTTCCTGCAGTGCAACTAATTAAACTCTTTTCTTACTTCTGGCACATCATGTATATCAATTTATGGTAATGGTAAAATATGAAAGCCAAGCAAGCAAGTAGTCCCATAAAGGGTTAGAAACTTCTTTAATCAGTATAACTCTAGAATATAATTAATTTCCAACTTGAGTAACACACTATACCAACTCATCCATGGAAAAAGAAAACAAATATATGGATCCAACAACACAATTTTTTATTTTCAATGGAAGACACATTCATTCTAATCCTGATGATACTCATGCCTTATGCTTAGCTTGTCTTTTCTTCAAGAAGCAGAGGTAGAACTAGAGAGGCTCACCTGGAGTCCATGCTGACAGGTGGAGGGATGTCCACATCGTGAGACACAAATGTCTCAGCCTGTGAAGACTCAGGATGACGAGAGGAAACCTGATTCTGAACTTCACATTGAGGCCTGCAACAAATATGCCAATATGCCATTTACTCTGACTGTAACTAATTTGACTAGATACTGTAGATGCCATTATCTTCACAAGGCTCTTGGTTTCTTTTTTGCAAGGGTAATGAAATGAAAAATTATTGGGTCATTTAAATGTTACAGGCCTTTTTTTTACATGCATTAATAAATAATTGACCTTCAGCATAATAGTTTCCCTAAAAAAATTAAAGCAGTAGAATAGGTGCTAGTGCCACGGAAAAAAATTTGTAACAGCATGGTATCATTTACACATATGCTAAACAGAGAATTGTAGTATCACTCACCCCTTCCAAAGAATTTCAAGAGCTGACTGACTTGAACTTGCAATTTCTTGCAATTCTCTTTCAGAAAGCTGAGTTGAAAAAGCTCAACCTTGCACCATATTTTACAAGGGTAGTTTGACAATGAGTGAGAATCTCAGTAAGGATAGGATGATATAGGAGTCACCCTGCTGCACTTAAGCACGTACTTGAGATTGTCAAACTACCCTCGTATTACTACTAAGAAAATGGGCATCTTTTCACAACAGTATTATGATGTGAAGCAGGATGTCTCAGGGAGTGAAAACAATCACCTTCCAGCCATCACTCTCTCTGTTTAAGGATGAAAAATGTAGATGAAGCTGGGTGGCTTCATAGCTGTCACCCACAAACATTGCTGCTGTGTTACTGCTTCTAATGTGGTGACCTATCAAACTGGCTGCTATAGGGCCTAAATTCTTCTCAATTACATATAAGATAGTGATGTGATGGCAAAGGGAAGAGGAGGAAAGCAATAAATTGCATTCAAAGATGAATAAAATAAGCTCTCTACAATTCTGACTCCAATAAGAATTCCAAAATCTTCACACAAACCATACCCTCAAACTTCACTTGGTGGTGATTTGCCACCCAGTCAAAATTAAATTATTCTCATATTCATATTTCCAATCAAAAAGCTTCAAGTGCTTCTCCAATTATGGCAAGCACCAAATCTTGGAAAGTGAAATAAAAAATGAATATGTCAACATTGTTACATTTTTATGACAAACATTACTCTGTCTGGCACCATTATATGAGGGAAAGGTGAATTGAAGAGACCCACCTGAAGAGTTCCTCCTTGAGATGAGGGAGGAAGGAGGAGATGCGATCCCAGGTGATGTTCCAGAGCTCATTGCGATGCAGGGAACACAGACTCTGAGACTGCTCTGGAGATCCAAACACCCCAGCCGTCTCCATCACCAACAGCATGTTCTTCAAACTCTCTGGGATTGCCTCACACTGCCACCCAATCGAAGAACATGATTCGCAAAATAAGGACTATGATTATCACAATCATGAATTCAGAAATACTGATATTAAGAGAACATGACCATGACTTACAAAAGGGAAATGGATAATCAAGTCACATTTTGTTGAGATTTGACTAACATGGAGTGCAAGAGAAAGCACATTTTTGACAAATGAGGGTTAAAATAAGAGCAATTTTCTACTCACAAGGAAAATAATTAAAATTCTTTGATAGTAGAAGCTTGCTCTCCAGAAAACGTATAAAAGTGAACATTTTGCATACCATGCATTCAGAATACAGTTGGCAGTCTGGCACTGGCATGTACTCACATGGTGCTCCAAGTCAAGTTTTTTCAGTTTTATATGATGAGTTGCATTCATGGTCTGCTGCCCAGTTTGATGAGATATGCACATTTGTGTGATTTGCATACACACTATTCATGAGCAGTAGGAAAAGACAGGGATTTGCATATTTGGCAATTGCAACCAAGGCACAGATGGCCAAAAAAGGCCTCACAGGTTGAAAACAAACCAGTGTATTGAACTCTAACCTGTGTAAGCCAAGTACTTGCAATAATATCACTCATCAAAAACCAAGAAAAATGAATCAAATTGATGGCACATCAAACAACTAGAAAACTAAATTATACAACACCAATCAATTAAATATGAGCTCACCATGAGTGGCATTCTACCTGGGTTCTTGCCAATTCAGGTTGAGCAACAGATGAAATCTGTTGTTACAGTACAACCAAATAGATATTGAAATGAGTGGGAATGAGATCAGAGGCAATGACATCCTACTTTTACATGCGAAAAAATAGTCTGTACCCTTCTTCATTGACCTCAGCCCAAGAGAGCAGAACTAGACTCACCAGAAGATCAGACTTGTCTGAACGCATGAACTTGTCCATGAAGTCAAGGATGGTGAGCCACAGGGCTGTGAATGTAGGGAGGGATAGGAGTGGGGTGAGGTGTTGGAGGAAGACTTTGGAGAGCAGGGTTGCAACCCGCATGCGTGTCTCCTCCATTCCCATTGGGTCTCCCAAGGTGGAGCTCTCCAGCAGCTTCCCCATCAGAGGGAAGAGGACCTGATTGAAACAGGACTCCCACTCCCAGGCTTTCAGAGTCTGCAGGTCATGCACCAGCAGGGCACGCTGCAGGTATGTCACAGCACTTGTGCGAACCTATGACCCACAATCAACCAATATTCTTAGTCAGCCCGAGAGCTCATAGGTGAGAACTTAATACATTAGATCAGATGCAATAAAATTAAGAGCCAGCCAATGTCTTAGTTTTCTAGCAATCACATGGTTGGGAGAATGATCTTGACAGTCAAGGAGTCCCTGGAAGAAAGTAGGGTAGGGTAAAGTAGTTCAGATAACACAGAATAAGGAATTATTTTTGGCTCTCACAGAAGACTAACAAAAAAAAGGAAAAAGGCATTCTTGGAGAACCTTTTGGATGAAATTATATTAAATTTTATTCATAATTCTTTCATTTTTCTTTTTAATCTAATAGATAATGTAAATTCAATCATTTACTTAATTAATGTAATTCATTGGCAACACCAGAAAAAAGAATAGGGAGCTAACCTGCTTTCGAGCATCATAGCAAAGGCAGGCAATGCCCTGAAGGAGGGGGCACCAGCATGTGCTCCACAGAGACTCCAGCTCTACATTTGCAGATCCTTCAGCTGCCCAAGACTCAAATATGGATGCTGCTCTTGTGTGCAATGTGTGCATCAGATCCAGCAGCTACAACAATTTAGTGACAATAAGGAATGACTTTCCAATCACCCCATACATCAATATTCCACTTAATATCAAAAGTTTGGTGACAATGGGTTAGCATCTATATGGTCTCCTGGACCATTTGCACAGTTAATCCAGACTTCCAAGGGTAAGAGATGGCATCACCTGGATGGCCACTTGATGATACCCAGATGGGAGCTCTTCAGAGTCACTCTCATCAGCATCATATGCAGCCTGCTGCTGGGTCACATGGGCCTTGCGTCCCTGTGTCCTCAAATCCTGCTTTACCCGGCCTGATGCATTTGCTCGCTTGCGAGACTTTGCCTCCTTGCCATCACGAGTCACTGCACGCTTCACCACTCTCCCTAAATGAATCAGAGACTTCTCATGGCATCGTGCCATTGTTTCATAGGCCAACGATCTCTTCACCATTCTCCAAATATTCACCCTTCAATGTTCTCATAAGTACACAAACATGGCAGACCAGAATAAACTGTGAAAGTATGTTTAAAGAAAAACACTGGAATAATGAATAAATCCTCAAATGAATTGCATGCCTCTCAATTCTAGATGCTCTGGTTAATGCTTTCCTGGGTGCAACTCTGTATAAACAACATGAAAAATCTAGTAATACTTAGTTTGGAAATTTAAATACTGTACTCTATGCTCTAATACCTACTGCATGAGTGAAAATGAACTCATCTGAAGAAAACATGGATCTTCAATGAAGTATAAAAAGTAATAATAAAGATAAATGAGAGAAATTCAAAGAGTTGTGATAAGACATTCAAGAATTTTCTATGTTGGATTTATTATGCATTGAAAAACTGAGAAACAATATACATGAACCATTATTGATGGTTAAAATGAAGTGAATGAGAAGGGACCAAAGTTATCCAGCTTAGAATCAGCCCATGAAGTGTGCAGATGAGAGATAACTCATTCCCCTGATTTGGATTTATTATGGGGACATTCAGTTTTGGATGGATTCCCTGAATGGCCATGGAAATTTATTCAATGTTTTAGTGGGAATGATAAAATCCATTACCTGTGGAGCCTGTAACCTGTGTAAACTTTGCATAATAATTAGGGAGATTTGTGGGTTTATATTATCTTTAATTCAAAGGGAAAGCTATATCATTGGTTGAGAAAAAATCTCAATAAAAATATTGTTTAATTAAGGCTGATTCTCTTTTGCTATGAAAATGAATTTGTTCCATAGCATTTTATCCATTCACAAGGGATATTCTCCAAAGGAGTTTCAATATGTCTAACCTGTAATCTGCTCCAATGCTTTTAATTCAACATTTGTGAATGGCTCTCAACAATGGAGACTTCTCAATTGTCTTGAATTAACCTTTTCTTCTTCTCTCATAGATGAGTACTAAAGACCTTTAACAGGAAAGTAATGGAAAGCATTTTGCTAATGCAGCCCCTACATGGGTTGCATCCATTCTGCATATTGCATAAGGAAACATGGAACTCAAACCAATCAGAGAAGACTTTCAGCTGAGAAATCCACAATCCCACACAAATTGTTTATTCTGGAGAGACGATGAAAGGAAATGACCTCTCTCACCTCCATCCAGGTTGGCCTCAACAAATGTGCGAATGCAATGAACGCACGAGGGAAAGTTGTGTGGTGTGACATGGGCAACATCCCGGACGAGGAAGGCAAGGCTCTCACAGCAGCGCATGAAAGCATGTACATCTGGATCAAAAGCCAGTGGGGAATTGAGCTCCATCGTCCATTGGTTGACTGGCTGCAGCAGGGGTCTGTGATCCAAGGTGGGACTGCCTCGCTCCACCTCACCTTCTGGACTCACCTAAATCCAAGCAGGATTTTAAAAAAATCAACCTATCAACCATAGACAGTTGTGAGATCATGCCCTCAATATCCATCACTTCCTTCTCTCTGGATGGTCTCAAGAGGGCTCCAATAGTTCAAATAACTATCATAATTTGCTCAGTGAACTGGATTTGATTTACCATATGGGACCAACTGCATCTGTAGGCTGTAAATAATCGTACAGTTGACTCTCGTTATAACAAAGTTGATGAAGCCATTGGAATTATTTTGTTACATCAGGAGTGAGTTGTACATCTCCAATTAGAGAACTGAATCCCCTTATGCCTGTGTATATGTGATTATTATCCTGTGGGTGTACTTTGGGGACCCTATGGCTTTTGAGGGTTTCATGGACAACAGTACTTCAATACCTTCACTTAAACATAACCGCTGGTAGGTCACATGGCATCACAGTTAAAGCATTAGAAATCGCATTGGCAGCTGACATCTTAACCCTTACACTGTGAAAAGCGACTTCAGTTACCTCCAGCAAAATTGCCATTGGCTGCGTGCCAAAATAAATTAAGCCGCAAAAGGGTTAAATGTGTAATAGCTTCTAATAAGAAAATGGCATGGACCTCCCAAAGCCTTGTAAAAGGAAACCTGCATGGGATCAATGAAACAAGGAACCCCACCAAAAAGCTGCTGAGTGTGAGCACTGAAGTGCTTTGTTCACTTGCATGCTCCATGTTCACATCCACCACCACATTCACATTCCCCCTATCACACACATTCTGCACATGCCAAATTCTTAGTTCGCCAAATCCGTAGTTCTCATAAGCTGTATAGCTGAAGACCAAGGTGGAGGGCTGAATAGAGATAAGATGACCCTTCTGCACTTCTGTTAAGAGGGAGGAAAGAAATTATTTCCTTCTGAATGGGGGAAAATTCATTATATCCTACGTAGTTTCTATCTGGGGACATAGAAATTCTTTTGTTATATCAGAAATTTCTTTATATCTGCATTTTTTAGCATGGGTGTCTATGGATGTTCGGTCAGGCAATGTCAAGAATTTTGATATAACTGGTTTTTCACTATATCAGTGTTTGTTATACTGAGAGTCAACTGTATTAGATGCAAAGCTGAAATTTCACAAAGATGCAGAACAAACACAGCTACTGAAGTACACAGCATTATAATGCTGCTTCTCAAAATTGAAGGAGCAGTGCCACAGTGATCATTATTATTTTACTGCACCTCATATATTTCTCTTACATCTGGATTCTTGTGTTGGACTAGCATCTAGTGACCTCCAGCAAGTAGCATCACATAACAATGCATTCTTGTTCAAAATGAAATGAAAAAAGAATGTACAGCTTTGTTGGCTGATTGCTGACAGTTTGATTGATGACTGGCCTTACCAATATCCAACCTCCAGAGCCATGGAGACGGGAGGTGGGAAAAACATCCATGCTGGCAGTGCGATTGATTTGGGCAAGGACAGGTAACCCAGTGATCCTGCTCCCCCCATGACTTGTGTCATACAGCTCAGAGTCAGACTGATACCCCCGGTCAGAGATGTCACTTCCTCCTCCACCTGATGCTGCAAGCACCTCACACTCTGAATGAACCTCTCCACCATCAAATCCAACACCTACACAGAAAAAAAGTCACATGCACAATTTTCCATTAGTGGGATGTGTCTTCAAAAGGTAGCAAAAGCAGACCCCATTACTTGAACATCCAAATGAAAGTCAGTTCTCAAAAGAATCCACCACTACATTCCAGTATCTTACTTGGCCTCTGATTTTGGAGAGAGAGAGATGCAAGTTTTCTATTGGCTCAATCCCAAAAAGAATAATGTATTTTAGGCTATAATTTGGATACACAAGAACACTGAGATTCCATCTTATAAGGTAGCCCATAGAGAAGTAACAGAATGTAACTTTATAACTTAAAAAAGAAGAAAATTTCAGGGTGACACAAAGAAAAAGTCAACATTGCGAAAATTGACATTTCTTGTATTATATTAAATGTGAATGAAAATTTTAGCAGCAGTTAAAAATGAGAAGAGATTAAGCTTTCCATTGCTGAAGATTGCATGAAGATCAATGAATGCAGAAGCAAGGTATGGAAAGATGAAATTTACATTAACAAATTTCAGGTCTGCTAGTAAACCACTGTGAGTAGCCTCCAGCAATGCAAGCCTTTGAAGAAACTTAATGATCCAAAAAGGTACAGCTGATGAGTGGAGCTCTTCACTCTATTGCTAGTTGCCCATGTTCAGTATTTGCTTGAACAAACATTTCAAAGAAAGCCATGTGCATCACATGTTGCTCAGTAAAAACTTTAAAAAATTTCACCCAAGTGGTTGAGTCCTGGAAGAAGCATGAACCATTTGCAAAAGGAAAGCAGGTTCCTCAAAGCAATCCATTAGAAGACTATGCAGGGAAACTGGCATTTTAAGAGCAGGCTGCCAAAGAATTTTGCAGAAAGATCTAGGCATGTTTTCATACTAAATCCTAATTAAACATAAGTTGACAGGTGCAGAAATGGAGTCCCAGAAAAGGTTTAAAAAAAAAAAAAACTTTGTCAAGAAGTGCAGAGAAGATCCTGATTACCCCTACCTGGTTTGGATCCTGGACCCTACCTGGATCCTGATTTGGTTCTTAGATGAGAGTCATTTTCATTTGAATGGACTGTGTACTCAAGAAACTCAGTCTACTGGGGCACCCATAAACCAGATGAAATTCAAGAGAGGCTACTGTATTCTTCTAAAGTGACTGTTTTGCACTGTTAATGGGATCGTAGGACCATTCTTTTTCAACCATGAAAATAGACAAACTGCAGGTGTTAATACAGAGTGTTACAGGGAAATCTTGCAGAGGTATTCCTTGGAGATATTGATTTTTCCAAATGCAGAACAGATGTGATTCCAGCAAGATGGTGCAACTTCTCACACATCACACATTGCACTGGCATTTCTTCAAAAGATTATTGGGGACAGGCTCATCTCAAGAGGGATGGGTTTCCCATGGGCAAGTCATAGTCCTGATCTTTCACCATAGGATTTCTGACTATGAAACCACTTGAGGCATCACATACACCAACCAGGCAAACTTCAGTCTCAAGTTAAGTCTAAACTTAGAAACTGCAGAGATTCCTCTAAAATCAGAGCAGGAACAGCTCAATCAGCAGTATAAAATCTAGTTAAGTGTCTGAAGGTGAGCTGATGTAAGGAAGAGCACACCTTGAACATGTCCTTTCTTGATGGTGAGCAAATTTCTTTCAGTATAGTTTTCACTGTTCCATACCTTGCTTCAGAAATATTTTATTTTTACGTGTTTTTTTTGCAAAAGAAAGCTGAATCACATCTCTTTTCAACTGAGGGCACAAATTTAAAAAAATCCAAGTTCAATATAATACAAGAATCCATTATTGCCGTGTTAACTTTTTTTGAGCCACCTGGTATTTTTTTAAATTCTCATTCTTCAACATGTCTTATTTTGTTTTTAAATAAATGAAATTCTGTTGTGAAATGGATTAGTTTGCTCTTCAGCTTATAATCCACTTCATTTTCAGAATAACCAACCAGTTTCATTTCAATGCAATCATTGGCCTATTCCAAGATCACTTTGAAGATGGCATAGTGATGAGAGGCAACACTACAGAAACCCTGAAAAGTCTCATTCTGACAAAATTGCTATGTTTACGTAACATGGTAAAATTGCATGGAACTCTAGTAATGACATGTTAGCAGTGTATAGAGCTGCTTGGGAGGTGACACTGTGACAGATGCCCACATATCAGAAGTGCTGCATAATCTTTTTCATTATAAGGCAGATGATCAATAATGGCTGGCAGAGCAGCAATGAGCAGTGGCAAAAATAAGAAATCTTGGCAAGGGTATTTAATCTCATTGATGGTAAATTGGTATTTACTAGGTGGCCTCTCTTTGAACTGATAGAGTAAATCAAAAGTGACTCCAATTGGAGGCCTCTTTTACCTGCTGAACAGGTAACTGCAGTCAAGAAGAAACACTTGACATACCAGTCATGCCTCCAGCAAGGGAAGGAGGGGCAGGGTTGCGTTCCTTCCCAGCAAAGGGATTCACCACAGGACCACAGATTACAGGCTTTGCTCCAGCACCAACCACTTCCAAAAGGGCAAAGATGATCCCCCAGTCCTTTCCCTCGTGGATATTGGCTGCATTTGTCTTCAGCAGCTCGTGCAAGGCAAATGAGATCTGACGGGACACTCGTCGTAGCCAGGAGGTCTTCAGCACCAGGAGCATTTGCAGGGATTCAAGAACCTGGAACCAAACATGTGGACAGGGAACTCAATGAGACATAATTCAACTGATAGCTCAGATCTCAATACTGTCTTGAATGAAAAAAAAACAGGCTGCAAATCAATTGCATCATTGGGTGGAATGTGTTGAAAATGACCAGGGCTGAAACAGATGAAGCATCTGTATGATTAAGGAAATGACTTTGAAACCCATAAGACATGGGAACACTAAATAGCATCTTGGTCGCTTTCTGGGGGTACCATGCTTGAAAGCTGGAGAACCCAGTCCACCCCACCCTCAGCCTCTCTTCTGCACCACAGCCTAGGAGACATGGACCATCTAGTAAACCTGCAATATCCTTTGTGCTGTTCATGCACATATTACACCTCATGAGCTGGCTCAAAAACCTTCTATAGGAGCAAGAAGGAGAATTCCTATATGAAGAGGATGTGGTAATGCCACACTGAACCAAGGAAGCATCTCCTTTCTCTTTTGGGCTCTGCAACAAGAACATTGTCAATGGTCCTTTTTCCAATCTCAAAAATATTACATGAACAAAACATGCATCACATTGATATGCTTTATGGGTGATTTTGTGCAGTCCAGTCCAAGAACTACATACATATAACATTTCATTGTACATTACTGAGTAGGTCAAACAACAATTTTTAAACAAACAGAGGAAAATCAACATCAGTAAGCAGGAGTGATGCAGTTAGATATATGCAGGCCAGTTCATACAATGGCATAGCTGAATAACTGTGGGATTGTCATGGCAGTTTTAAGTCAGTCTCCATTGGTTGAGAATATGTCATGGAACAAAGACTTTGCGATTGATGAGCAACTGGTTCCTTTATTTGTGAACTGGGAAGCAACAAAAACTATGAAATTATAACTGGACCAGTCATATAGACCAGTCATAGAGTTGTACGATGCTTTGTGAGATTAGATAATGCAGCTATTTTTTGTTCTGCATTCCCATTAAGAACAGACTACATCATCACACCCCACACCTTCAAATAACAGGCATGGGTGGGGGTAGGGGGAAGGGAAGGTGTGGCAGGTTAAGTCTGATGAGCATGATGAGGGCAGCTTGCCAACACTGTCTAAGTTTCTTTGGTTTCTGTTTCTTCTCCTGCATCATTGTTTGCTAATAAAAATAAATAAATAATTTTATTCTTGAGTGCTTACATTCCCTTAGACCTCCTCCCATGCCCCAGAGTTTGCAAATGGCTTTTCAAGTGTTATTGCAAATGAAATGAAAATGATATACCCTTGAATTGGGACAACACTTTCTTTGCACCACCATGCAGCTGTAGTTGGAGCTTCAGTGTTAGTCAAAGATTCAGCAACACTTTTACCATGTATTTGGACTAAAGGGGCATGGAGAAATGTGAAGCTACCTCACAGGCTTATCCCTCAGTTGAGCACTCAATATGGTTTTTTTTTTGCAGGTGAATTAACATGTACCTTGACATCCTCTTTAAATAATGTCTGTAACTCTCTAATGGAAGGTCAATTTATAATACTAGCTTTCAGATTGTCTTCCAGTTGACAAGAACAAAAACTGATGACTGAAGTTACAGAAAATCCTTTCTTGAAAAGCATTTATATTCAAAATTTAAATGATTTGGAAGGACCAAGCAATATAAAAATGAAAGGAAAATAAATAATCAGGGCAAGGTTGCTTTCAGCCCAGCTGGATGGTAAGGAAGGTTCATGATGCCCACAAATCTCTTCACACATTCCCTTGTTGTGGGGAAGAGAAATGGGTAAAAAAAAAAAAATTAATTTGGTTTTCTCATACAAGATCCAGATGCAATTAGGAACAAAAACCAAGGAAGGAGTAGAGAACTTTACTTTTACAAATACAAAAATATAAAATTGTCAGAAAATTGTGATATTCAACCTGCAAAGTGTTTTTATAGCACTCATTCCTGGTTTCTAATCTGGTCTGATATTTCACAAGGAAACAGAAAAGGGATACCTGAGGAGCCATATCTTCACGCCGGAGGAGGCGGATGGCGAGTCGGAGGAGTCCAACCACAGCACGCTCCACCATGAAAGGCAACTCATCTTTTGCACCATGCTGCATCACAGAGAAGATGTGATCCTTCACACTCCCCCACACCAACTGTGATCGATCTCTGCAAAAAATGAGAAGGAATTGATGATCCTATTGTGTAAATACCAATGAAACTATTCATGGTCTACCCATGCAGTATCCATAAATAGCTGCCCCTTCTGAATTTCAACAAAGGTTGATGAGTTATGAGGAAAGGAAAATATTTTTTTTTCTTTTAATACAAAATCAGAGTTCTTTCTTCCAAGGAACTGACACTACCTTACTCTAGCCTCACAAACCAAAGTATTGCTTTTCAGTGAACACTTCTCATAAGCATCAAAGGATCCAAGAACAAATGCAGTTCATAAAAATTCATGAAGCTCTGATGTAACCTTGTCCTTCCTTTCAAAAAGAGAGATGGATCACTCTGAGTGGGAAGAACAGGCTCAGGTGGGCAAAAATGAATACAAAAATGAAAAGGTTCATACAAATGTCTGCATATGAAAGAGTACAGAAAAATACATATATTTCACCAGGTCTCCATGGGAAATTAAATGAAAGGAAATGCATCAGTCTCACTTGCCTGTTTTGGATCATGACCTTGATGAGGAGTTCAAGGAAGAATATGGTGGATCCCTCATTCACAGGAGTGGGAGTTGGCAAGTGGAGAGATACTCCTCCACCTTCTGGCAATGATGCTTGCATCAATGCCTGCCATCACACACCACCACATACCATTTCAGCATGGTCAGCACACAGCAGTGAGTATGACAAGTCCAGTGAAGTTGCTACATTGTTTCCAGTTTCAATAGTACCAAGTAAAAGGGCTCAATTAAGTGTTTGAAATAGGTGAAATGATCCTCAAATGAACAAAGGAACACAGTAGTCATTGCTTTCAATCTTGAACAAGAGGGCAGAAGTGCAACATCAGCTACACAGTTTGACAGCAAAGTGCTTAATAGAAGTTTGAAGGGTTGCACCTTGCAAGAGGAACACACATTTTTCTGCATATCCAATTCAAATATGCATTGATACCAGATGCTTCATCTTCCTGCAGGACTTGCATACATATCAATATGAAAGATGGAAAGGTAGGAAGGTACCTTGACCAGCTCTTGGAAGGAGTCAGCACGGAGGAACTTGGACTCGGTGATGAGATACTCAGTGTGGCAATCCCTGATGCAATCTCTGGCCTGCTCCATAGCTTCCTGGTCCTCTGCAGTTGGACCCTTTGATCCAGTTGGCTCTGAAGCACAGGCAGAAAAAAGTTGTTGTTTTTTTTGTTGGAGATCCTATAGGCACTCGTGAAGAAATTGCTTTGTGAACTTCAGATATATTGAAAAGATGCTTAACTGAAGTGTTTTCAACTTCAACTTTATTTGCATGGAGGCCAATATTTGGCCTCCATAGAAGACCTCATTATTTGTCTATTTTGAAATTTATAGAAATAAAAAACCTGGAGTGCAACAAGTTGTATGATTACCTTCATTGTTGCTACCTGACAAAAGAAGAAGCCAACATGGCCAGCCTGGGACAGTCTGGCCAAGATAGAATGTCCCAGGCCAGCTGAATCATTTATTGCAAGAATTTATCTCCATTAAATCATGATCAATGTCCATTATTTCCATCTAGCAGTCATGTAAAAATAATGCAGAACCCTTGCATGTATTCTTTTCCCCATCCAATCTATGATCTGTTTTCAATTGATGGAAAGAGAGAACAAGGCCAACATTTCCAAAATATAATAACCCTTCTCAGTGATCCCATAAACATTACCACTAGAAAAATTTTCAACACACCTGAGAGTGCAATGTAAGAATACAATGAAGAAAGGAGTCCAGATTCATTCCTCTGAGCAGATGGCAACAGCTCTTCCTGGATGAGACACACCTTCCCAGCTGGGTCTACAAAATCCTCTGCCTGCAAGTCATGACATTACATGATCAAGTCCCAAGTTTGAGGAAGGACCAGGGTCCAAAAACTTGAAGCACAAACACATTTAACCCTTTGACGAGTATGCCCATATATATACAGGCAATGCTGGGTGGTACTACCAGAGTATGCCCGTATATGTACGGGTTAATATTTTCACGTAGTGTGGTAAGCGCAAATGCAAGTGGAGCATCATGAGACTGGCCAGACATGTGCTACCATCAAGCCATGTCTTCAAGGAACTTTTTCTGCCAATTTAAATTGTAACTAACCCCATAAATATACAAAAGAACCATAATACGTCAGCAGAAGAGGACCAATTCCTGGTATCAATGCGTCACCTGTGACGTCGGACGTTGTATCCATCCCTGCTTTGCAGAGTACCACACCTGAAAGCTTTTTTTAAAGAATAGAAGCAAGATAAATATACAAAATCACCTCAGGGATCCCAATGTTCATATACCCAAATGCTTGTAAAAAAAAATGTATGAAAGTACAATGGTAATTTATGCAAGTAAAATGAATCTTGCAATTTTCTCTGTCACAATCACGGAATCTAAAAAAACTCACTCCCGTAGGTCCAGGGAGGATGTAAAAACCCACCACTCAAAGGGTTATTGACCTATGGACTTCTTTCCAGATATGAAAGAAATATGGCTCTCATTACAGACTTCCATCAGGCCTGATGAAACTCTAATAGGAACCTCTGTCCAGGCCAGGACAAGAGCAATGGTTCAGCAACACAGACAAAAGAAAATATGAACTCCCACCATCAAGGGCATTCATCCAACACACTCCTGCCCATATACCAAATTTTCACACAAGTACAAACACATACCCATTCACATAAACATATACACATACAGTCAACTCTCGATATACTGCCACTGTTGGTCTTCACCGATTTTGGTGCTATATTGAAAAGCGCAGCTTTAAAACGGAAAATTTCCTAAATAACTCAAATATAAAATAGAATTAGGAAAAAAAAATCCACTTTAATTCATCCATGCTGCCAATGGAGAACAAAAACTAAACAGCTTTGAAAAATGATTCAAAATGTTTTGCTGACTTTCGGCAGCATGCGCCTCCTTGTAACAACACACTTCCACTTTTTCCCTCACACACCCCCAACTGTCCTTTTCCCCATTATTGGATAATGGACACATTTGGACAATTGTCTGGAGAAACTTTGAACTGAAAAGGCATTTCCATTCTCCAAGAGAAAAAAAAGGAGAGGCAGGATCAGGTCAGATTAAGAGACCCCTTACGCCCCCCTCTAATCCCAGGCATCCATGGCAAAGCTACGTCATCCCTCACAATCCCATTGTCAAATGATCAAAAGGAAAGGCTGACAGCATGTAATTTTTTTTCCACCGCAGTAGTGCATGGTATGATCATTGTAGCTGGTACAGTATGCTACTTGGCACTATAGCGAGTATGACTTACGTAGAATACAGCACATTTGTGCAAGGTAAGGTATTGGCGGATGGCCGCTTGCGAGGGTGGCACTATAACAGGGGAGCGCCAATGATAAGCCTATGGGGAAGATTCATTCTCTTGAAAGAGTTGGCGCTAAACGAGAGTGGCGGTATATTGGGTGGAGCTATATTTAGGGTTTACTATATATTATAACAGAAGAATAATTGCAGAAAATATGTATGCTACTGTAAATCTGTGTAGGTTTTGACAGAAACATGAACTCAACAGAGGAAATATTCATTCCATATCATTGTGTTGCTAGGGTTACTATTGGAACAGCAGTATCATAGACATCCTAACTGGAGAAGCAAAGACCTGAATCATCACCCGGACTATGCATGATTAGAGTGGGCAAGGGACTCACCTCAACAAGGCACTTGGGGAGAAGCTTGCATTTGTAGAGAACAAGATGGGTATCAAGGAGACTCTTCCACCCTTCCCGCAAAATGTCCCCATGGCGATGAGCCAATGTAAATAATGTCTTTGCAGCAATTTGAGCTTTTGCATTCCCTCCAAACCATATCGCCACATTCTCTGCACTCTGCATCACCTGTTTATCATGTAGTAAAGCCATAATAAAGAATATTAGGAGATATAGGCATGTTTGTATGTTATGAATAACAACAGATTCTTACATAACATGGAGACTGGTCTGAATTTTCAAGTATGTGTGAGACTCAACAGATAAACTTCAATAGTGATTGCAAAATCAAGCAAGCTCACTGAAGCTGCTTATATTCCCATTTAGACAGAAACACAAAAAAAGTGACAGATTCAGTAATTGCTTGATATTTCAATTATTAACTGCCTGTAAGCATACCTCACTACAGTGAAGAAGTCCAGTGAACTTGCAGAGTGAAATAGTGAGATTGTCAAAGACATCACTCATCCCATAGTGGCCTGCAATCATGGCACATTTCCTGGAACAGAGTATGGCATTAAATGAAAATACTCAAATATATGACAATAACAATACCTTAACATTGACTGTTTTCAAGGTGCACTCCCAGATTCTTTCTATAGACTCAGCTGTGCATTTGTCAAATGCTAGATGAAGACCAAGTGGTGCATTGAGTGTAGAGATAGATCTTACCTTGAGTGATCTTTGCCATCATTCTGCCAGTTTATTTGATATCAAACCAATATTAAGTAGCCTGATTGACAACCCTCAACATGTTGCTTCTCTAAGGAAGTTTTGTTGAATTTTCTCTGCCTTCTTTCAATTGATTGGAGATTAAACCTCCTTGATATAGGATACATACCTGAACCCAGAGATGGTCCTCTGCATGATGGCATCATCAAGGGTCTTGTCAAAGACATAGCTGAGGGCAGCCAGACAAGGCCCCCATATGAGGGAGAAGAGGTCATGATCAAAGAGACCCTCAGGAGCTGTCAAGTACTGCCCCTCTCGAGTGACACCCCGCCGCAGCAGCACCTTCCACTCATAATTCTCCTTCACCTGTCCTGTCTGCTCTGCTGGCATGACTATCTCCTCTTGCCTTTGGGGACAAATATCAACTCCATTTCAACATTTTGCATGCAAGCACTAATTTTTTTTAATTTTCAATCTTCTAGGGCAGGGGTGTCAAACATACGGCCCGCGGAGGTGTTTCATCCGGCCCGCGGTCTGTTCTTGAAATTTTCATCTGTATTAACTCTCAGCACTCTCCGCGCACGGGCCTAACCTCGAATAAGAGTTGAAGGCGCCCGCATTCCCTCTCCGTATTGTAAATATACGATGGCGTCCCCTGGTTGATCCAGGCCAGGCCAGTCAGTATTCAAATAGTTCGAATAGAGAGGAGTAT